TTGGCCTCACCGATGTTGCACATCAGTGAACAGGCTGTCTGGGCTCTTGGAAACATTGCAGGTATAATATTTATATTTTAATATTTCAATCAACTCTAGGTTAATACAACTGATAATCAGGATGTCTGATAAAATGGTAATGTTTTTCAAAAGGACACTACTGTTTGCTCACCTTTATGGACCACTGACTGCAATTAAGCTATAAAGTGACTCGAGCTAATGTCTTTCAAATGTTGACGTGGTGGTCTATTTTGACTGTGAATAATGTATATAAAGGCAGTAGTGGCACACATAGAATTTGACTTTTACTGTAGTTTGTTGTACTAAAATCACAATGTAACCACTTGACAGGTGACGGTGCAGCTTATCGGGATGTCCTGATCGAGTGCAATGTTGTTCCAGCCTTACTGGCCCGCATCTGCCCAGACACACCAGTAAGTCCAAACTTTACAAGACCAGCTCAAACTACACACCCAAGAGCTGTAATGCTTCCATGTCACTCGAGTATGGTGACTTTGTTGGGTTGCTGGCAAATTGCTTTAAATCAAACCGCTTTACAAACAATTAAGTTTAATTCAACTTGAACAGTTTTGAGATGTGTAGGTTCTCTACATGGACCACATCGGTCATCTCAAATACAAACTGGGGCTACTTGGTACAGTTAAAGATTACTTATCTATGATGGATGGTTTATAAAAGGGAGTGCGTCACTTTTTTCCTCCCCACAATGCAACCAAGAGTTCATTAGTGACTAATGTACTTTTGAGCCACTAGTAGTGGCTATATGACTGGGCTATAGATGTAGTATGTTGAATGAAGTGTTCTCTTATTGAAATTAAAGTGTGATTTAAATGGTGTCATGTCAACATCCAAATATTGTATTACATATGAGTGCCTGAAAGTCCAAATGTGTGGATGCCTCACATCAGCTAAATTAATGATGTTAAACCCAGGTGCAATGGATGGTGGTATATTACAATCTACATTTTTACACCACAAACTCTAATGCAATACATTCTTGATGATTTGAACATGTGCAAGTGTTACATTACAGCATGTGAAGTGGATCATATTTCTGTTCCCTCTTGAGTCACAAAAGGCTTTATACAACTTTATTCACATAATGTAGTGGTACTAAAGAACTGAGCTGTGGGCCAGAAGTCTGAAATGTTACTGCTGTTTATCACTAGGTTGGCTACCTGCGTAACCTAACATGGACGCTGTCCAACTTGTGTCGCAATAAGAACCCGTGTCCACCATTGTCTGCAGTCCAGCAGGTAAGTAAAAGTCTTGCACTAATATCGGAGTGGAAAGCAAGATGACTAATGTGCTGTAACTGTTGTCCCTTCAGGTGCTTCCCTCACTGATCCAGTTGCTCCATCTCAGTGATAAGGACATCTTATCTGATGCATGCTGGGCCATCTCCTACCTCTCAGATGGTGACAATGACCGTATTGACGTTGTCGTGAAAACTGGCATCATCCCTCGGCTGGTGGAGCTCATGAGCCACGAGGAGCTCAGTGTCATGGTAGTGTTCTTGGCTCATTCGGCCCTCCAATGTGCCCAAGCGCGCTATATGACCTAATTACCTGTCTGACCCGCAGACCCCGGCTCTCCGCTCCATCGGGAACATAGTGAGTGGTTCAGACCTGCAGACCCAGACGGCAGTTGATGCCGGAGTTCTGAACGTCCTACCACAACTGATGAGGCACCAGAAAGCCAGCGTGCAAAAGGAGGCAGCGTGGGCGTTGTCAAACATCGCTGCAGGACCCTGTAAGCAAATCCAACAGCTCATCACCTGCGGCCTGCTCCCCCCTCTGGTAGACCAGCTCAGAAATGTGAGTAGATGATGGTGAATGAGCATTTTATATCTGTATAGGCCATTTTTACAAAATATCTGTATATCTATTTTGTAGCATTGTGATGCAGGCAGCACATTTGATGCTTTGGAAACACAACATGTGCCTCAATAATGTAACCCCCTCGGCAGCCTTCAAATTGGTTGAATGTGTTTAAAAATGGTTATCTGGAATTTATGTTAAGTGAAGCACCTGAACAATATGCTCAATCTTTCTCAGGGAGACTTCAAGACTCAAAGGGAGGCAGTGTGGGCAGTGACAAACTTTACCAGTGGGGGCACTGTGGAGCAGGTAGTCCACCTGGTGCAGAGTGGAGCCCTGGAGGCAATCATCAACCTGCTGCAGGTCAAAGATGCTAAAGTCATTCTGGTCATATTGGATGCCATCAACAATATCTTCATGGTGAGGGGAAAATTTTATATATTTTACATCTAATTGGTCTAAAAGTAATTAGTGACCAGAACTTAAAATGCAGATTGTCATTTACTGCATGTGACTTTTCAGGCAGCAGAAAAGCTCAGTGAGACGGAGAAACTTAGCCTGTTGGTTGAAGAGCTGGGAGGACTGGACCGCATTGAAATGCTGCAGAACCATGACAACGATATGGTGTACCAGGCTGCACATAACCTCATAGAGAAGTACTTTGGTGATGTAAGTAGCTGCATGACAAACTATCTGCACTTAACATTTTTAAAGATTTTAAGTTTTGTAACTTGTTGCATGAGCAGATTTTAGAGTTTTGTAAAATTAAACTAGGGCATTACGCTTCCATATCTGAAGGGGGTAGGGAGCCCTTGTGGCATTCAATGTAATGCGTTTGTTTCTTGACTTGACGGCTTTTTTTTTTTTTTCTTGCCTTTCTAGGGCGAGATTGAAGGAGTCAAAGTCGACACTACAGAGGATGCATTTGTGTTTAAGAGCTCTGATGTTCAGAGAACCTTTGAATTTTAAACTCAAACTCAACTTTACTATTGTACTTTACTATTTTGATATGTTGAAAAGAAATGGTACGGTATATTTAATGCATCTTAAACTGAACTGTCTAGTATAAAACACTTGTTGTCAGTTGCAACAAATCTCTTATATACTCTATGGTTGCATTATGAATGCTCTTGAATAAAATAAAATGTGCTCAGTTTAAGTTGTATTTCCTTTTAAACACTTGGGGCCTAACACTGCTAAATAAACTCCCACCTCCAGCTGGATGTCTCAACCACTTCAAGAAAACCACTAGACTTCTAATTCTAAGTATTCAAAAGTCAAAACTCTTGTGTGACTTGCTGACGAAGATTTTAAAGACTGCGCAAGCAGTTAAAGGCCCTTTCCAAACAAAGGAAGGGGCCATCAACTTGGTTTGACACACTTCATCACAGTGGTGATTCTAAATGAAATCTAAGTTTCAGTCTTTAATAAATTACAGACTTTGCACTTGCAGTTTAAAAATGTGAGAATTTATGCTTGACAAACTTTTGCTTCTCCCAAAAGATACAGAAAGTGTATAGAAGTCTTAATGGACCACCCATTTCTGTTTTGTCAAAATCCTGCTTAATAAACAACATGTTCTTATTCTACAGCTGCCTGTACAGGATACCATAAAGCCCTTTTTGAAAAGTTCTGATGTTGATGAAGATCCTGTAAATGAACAGAATACCTCTGTTCAGGCTGCCATGCAGAAAACTACAAACGCTGAAGTTATCTGGTGCCTCAGCGCTGGACCCGTCAGGTCGCTTCAGAATCCCTTTGAACTTGTCTCCGGACTGTGTTGACATGTACTACGGCTGCTCCCAGAAGATGCTGATCAAAGTGAAACGTCACTACCTCCCAAGGAGCACCAGGGCAGGTCTGAGCTCCACCTACACTCAACTTTGTGCTCTCAAAGCCATGAAGAACAAAGACATTTATGACCCGCTGTCCTGGGATCACTTCAGAGCCCTTTGTGCCTACACAGCGGGGACATATGACTACTTAAACTGAGCAGTCCACAAGGGAAAGGCCTTCTACAAGACCTCGTTTGAGGTTCACGCCCTCCACTTCCTGCTATCGGACTCCATACGGCTCCTAAAACTTAACCAAAGAAGCTGCTACACCATCTACCGCAGAAGCAAACTGCTCTTCAGTGGGGAACCTGGACAAACCATCCGCTTTGGCTCATTCGCCTCCAGCTCCCTCGGTAAAGACCTGCGTCAGTTTGGTCGGATAACCTGCTTTGAGATACGCACGTTTCAGTGCCTACCTCAAGTTCTATTCAGAGTTTGACTCTGTAGATGAAGTCCTGATTCCTCCATATGAGATGTTCAATATTGTTCCTGTGGACTCGTCAGGAGAGAGTGATTTACACTGTGGTGGTCTACAAGCTGGAGACTGCTGGAATTTACAGCAGTCTCAACTGCCAGGCTGTGGACCTTTTTTTTTTTATTAAAAGGAAGTGTAAACTTTTAACTCTTTAATAAATCAGTGTAATTACTGTCGGCACCTTTTTTATTATGCTTCACTATCTTGATTTTAACAATGAGTTATGACATTTTAAGTTCAGTATGACCTTAGAAGCAGTCAACAAATGATGTCCATTTAGTTGCTGCTCTGGAGAGAAAATTAAACAGAACAAAAGCTAAACTACTGTATCACAAATATTATATAGGACACACCTCTGCAAACTGTTGAGTCACAGGCATTTTGGCTTTGATTTGCTCTTATGTCGCTTCTCTTTGAATAGAGTGAGGGGGGACAAGTGACTTTGTTTTTGTTTGACAGGAAGAGAAAATTGTTGGGAATCAAACAGAATCCTAGATTTATTTTTACATAGCTTATGTGTATGTAAAAATAGAAATGCAAACTTCGCCAGGACAATTTTAAAAATGTATATCTACACTTTTTCATTTGCAATAAATTGCTATTAAGAACTACTACAGGTGTGGCTGACTATAGGTTGAAAACTGCACATTTCTGACTTTGAAATCCACTATTTTTTTTATATTTTCTTACTGTAAAGCATAACTCCAATTCTTCCCTACATAGAGCTAGCCACCAGTGTGTCACATAATTTTCAAGGAAAACTGTAGTCCATATTAACCAGCCCCAGCCAATCATTTGGTCTATTCACTAATATCAGTATTTCTTAAAATGAACAGAAGTGACATGAAGCTAAATCAACACTTTTTTTATAAGAATTTTTAACAAATTCATTTTACAAAGACGTAAACACATTTTACACACTTTAGATCTCAGTCTTTTAAAAAGTGATCAAAACTCCTGAGCAAATCCACAGCACCAGTCCTTCACCGTCACAATATCTGGACAATGACTGCTTGTTTCTTTACAGCTTATACCAAACAGCATCAAACATTAGTTCAGTCTGAACCGTTAACCAGTACATTCAGAGGTCACTGGTCAATGCATCAGTACTTTGTTCAATGATGAATTATAATTTGAAAATTGATTTTATGAGTGACAGTGAGAGGAAGGAGGAGGTCCCCAATAACAAAACTTAAACCATAATACCTTGCACATCCCAAAATTGAGTTTTTAATAAAAGGCACTAGAGTTTTATTCTTAATGCTTGTATCTATTTGAGTCATAAAGTGGGAACCACAATTCACAGTTCAGTTTCAGTATTGTGCCACCTTTGATTTGCTCACTGTGAGGGGGAATCTATATGCTACAAAAGGAGGAAGTGTAGCAATAGTCAGTTCACTGGAAGGGCTCTTATACAGTAAGAGAGTTAACCAGAGGTACGCAGCTGTTTAACCGCTGTCAATAGCCGTAGAGTGATTTTGGCCCCTTGTATGTGATTAGGATGGAGTGTTTTATTAATATGATAGAAAAACAAATAAATAGAAGAAAAACGGAATACAACTGGAGGGAGAGAGGGTTTGTGAGAGGCGTTGTTCCAGAAGCACCAAACATGTTCTCCTTGTAGGCTGAACCTGTAACAGTCTGTGTGTGTGTGTGTGTGTCTACATCTTCTCGTAGGTGAGCTCATGTCCGCAGGTGGTGCAGGTTTTCTTGTAGAGGTCCTCCTCTGGATCCACCACCTCCTCTGGTCCGTACTGATGTTGGTGAACGCTGGTGTCTTTGGTCCACATACTGCTCCTCACCGCCCTGCGCAGCTCTGACAAACAGCACACAGACACATTTAGGGTTGATGCAGTGGACGCTCATCCTACGTGATGGGTATTTAGTCTCAAACAGGACACCAACCTTTGACCTTCTTGTTGAAGCGTTTTTGTTTCTGCACCTCTCGGTTTTCTTCCCTCGTCTCTCTGGCCTCCTCCAGAGCCTCCTCTGAACCCCACACCTCCATACATCTCTTCTCCACCTGCACGCACACACACACACAAACACAGAGGTTTCAGATCGACTCATTGAAACAGTGAGGGGTTATCCGGCCTTTAACCAAAATGTTTGTTAAATGTTTATTAATCTCTCAACTTTTTTTTTGATTAATTAATTACCGTAAATATTTTGTCTATAAAATAGTACAAAATGGTGAAAGAGCCCAATGATAAATCTCAAAATGTCATTTACATTTACAGCAAATCCTCACAGAGGGAGGAACCAAAAAATGTTTTTAATCCATTACTACAATTGCAAATTGTCTGATGATTGACTAATTGATTAAATGATGGATTGTTTCAGAACTACTTTTGTTAGTTTGTGGCTTGATAATTATTTGTACATTGGACTTAAATAACATCTTTCTGATAACCTCAACTGCCTTATTACCTTATTAAAGTAGGGATAACCCTTATTGATATGTGGATGTGAAGTATTTTTTATATTATTTTACTATCTAATTTATTTATCTCTGTTTTACTTACCCTTGTGTTATTATGTCATGTAAAAATGTAATGGGTAAAATTATGTCACTAAGAATAAAAATAACGTTCCAAAAAACAAAACAAAAACATCTTTCCTTGCTTTTTAAATATTCTATTAAATATTCCTACACACCTTTTGACTTTACAGGGACAAATTCTGAAATTTAATGAAAGTTGTCAGTGTTTTAAGACAACCTGTACTCATTTAGAGCAGTAATATAAACCGATCAGCCATAACATTACGACCACCAGGGTGCCCAGGTGGTCGTAATGTTATGGTCGGTGTACTTCATTGTTCAGTCATAGAAAATTAGAACCATACTTAGAAAAGCATTACAAAATCCTGCTAAACATCAATATTAGTCACTATGGGAAAATGTATTGTGGCAATTTTGCCCAGAACTACCCCACCATCCATCCTCACACACGCACACTTGTACATAGCCCCAGTCCTCCAGTCAGTACCTGTAGTTTGAGGTAGAGCTTCATGTCTCCCCAGCGTGGGTTATGAGGGTTTTTCTTCAGTACAAACTTGAGTGGAGGCTCTCTCATGTCCAGGTCACAGTCCTTCAGCATGTAATGCTGCTTGGCTTCAGTTCTGGAGATCAGCTTATGTTTCTCCTCATTGTCTCTGGGGGGGGGGAGAAGCTTCCACTGTTAATCCATCTGATTGATTTTCATCCACGTGATTGTAAAAAGAAAGTGTTATGACTAAATGACCAGAAAATTATGTTTGACATGACAAGTCCATTTGTGATGAGAAACCTTTTTTTTGTATATTATTTTAACCCTATCTTGTATTAATCTGATATGACCTTCTATATAACAGGAATTAAATGGATATTATCATGTAAATCACACCATCATATAGGAGGTATTCTGGGCAGACTGCACAATAATAATATTAATAATAATAAGGGCATAATACAAACTCATATTTTGGTGAACTTGTGAAGTCACACAGCATGTTAAGAATTGTCATTGTGATCTTAGGTAAATTGTAGTTAGACCAAAGTAGCACAAATTAAAAATATGCACGTTACAATCTAATATATTTGTTTATTAACCAGTAATATGTTATTTTAGATTTCAGAGGCTATTTATTGGACATCAGGCTACAGTATGTCAGAAGCGACGTCATTCAATTGCATTATTGTATACATTACAACATAATATAAATTTAACACTAGCCAGTGACAGTTTTATTGTGATTTAGGATTTTAGAAACATGTTAACATTCAGAAAGGACGATGAGAGTTACAGTACAGAGCAAGAAAACGTTTCCATCATCTTCCCAAGACTGTTGTTCCACACTGACAAGACTGCCTGCAGATGTGTCTGCAGACAATGTTTGTTTAAAACAACCAAAAGAAGAAAAAGTTGTAGGGTTTGTGTGTGTGTGTGTGTGTGTGTGTGTGTGTGTGTGTGTGTGTGTGTGTACCTGCAGTTATCACAGACACACAGGTTAAAGCTGTTGCTGAGGTATGAGTCCATGAAAGACTTTTGACAGTCATCACACACCAGGTAGTCTGGCTCAATCACTGGAGCTGGAAACAAAACACACACACACACACACACACACACACACACACACACACACACACTTAAATCAGGATGCCTGCACACACTCAAGTTAGAAACACACACACACACACACACACACTTAAATCAGGATGCCTGCACACACTCAAGTTACGAAACACACACACACACACACGCACACGCACACACACACACCGCCACACACACACACACACACACACACACACACACACACACCTGGCTGATGCACAACCTTCCTCGTCCTCTGCTCTTCCACATCGCCCTCCTCTTCCTCGATGAAGAAGCCGGCCCCGGAGTCGATGGTCTTGGAGACTTTGGCCGAGGTTGCGCCCTCCACAGCGGACAAAGGGCGGCTCGCCAGTCTGGCTTGCCGGAGCATCAACGCCCGCTGCCGGTTCCGCTCAATCTTAGCCCGCATCGCTGCAGAAAGCTCGGGTTTGGGACTCGGTTCCTCACCGGTACCGACAGCATCCAGCCCCCCTGAGTCTGACGGGTCCATGCTGCCCTCTCAAACAGCGATCAGCACAGAGGACTGAAAGAAACCACTCGTGTTTTCCTCCATTCAAAGTGCAGCAGCGTTGCTCTGTTGTTACAAAACTGACAGCGGCAGGCTTCCGTCTTCGTTGTTGTCTTCTTCTTCTTCTTCTTCTTCTTCTTCATTTTCTTCATTTAAAAGTTTGAGTCGCATTACCGCCACCTCCTGCTTCGGCATGTGAAAGACCAGAGAGTCAATCCGGGTGCTACATTAGTGCTTCGGTTCATACAATCAAATAAAAGTCTGCTGCATTTGTTTCTAAAGTACGACGGAGTATTAGGGCCATACTAAGAGAAAAATATATTCTTTGGGGGGGAAATTACGAGAATAAAGTCATAATATTATGAGAACTGTCAGCCTGTTGGCTCAGCCAGCAAAACTGTTTACCTACGAAATGATCAATAAGTTATCTAACCTGTTGACTGTACGGAAGGACTGAGACAAACAGCGGCTGCTGGGCTCAGACTGAGGCTGCTGATTGGTTGAGATGCTCACGTCAGATCTTCATAACTCTATGGAAGCTTTTTTCTCATTAAAACGATTACATTATTCTCCTATTATTACGACTTTATTCTCGTAATTTAAAAAAATATTTCTTTTCTCTTTTCGTACTAAAGTTCATGGTCCAAACTTCATTGTCAAATCTTTAATTCCACCTTTAGATAATGTTTTAATTCTTTTTTTTTTTTTTTTTTTACATAATTAATAATAATAATAATAATAATAATAATAAAGCTTTCTAGAGTGAAGCAGGGGCTAATATAATGGTTTCAGTGGCTTGAGCAGTCTGAGTTAGTCCAGTGAAGTGAGTATCTGAGCACCGAGTAAATCTTCTCTACCTGTAAAATGTTCTGGATCCATCAATATGTGCTTGAAGCGAGAGCAGCTACTCAAACATATTGTGATGAAGCTGGTACTTTTGACTGAATTCATAAAAAACAGTTGTTCTCCATGTCTCTGAGTGTTGGGCCAGTGGTTGGTCACTTAAAGGCTTTATTTTGAGTTCTAGCGGCATCTCTGCTGTCAGAACCTACTTCACCAACAAGACTCACATAGCTTTAGCTTGAATCTTGTTATGTTTCCTAAATTTCTGAGCCATGCCTCTAAGTTTTCACTCCTTAAAGAGGGTAGAAGACTTTCATAGGACATTTTCACACGAGAAAATGACTGACACAGACACTTAAATTGATATAGATAAATAATTATGTCTGGGAGAGTTGCCTCCTTTTGGTTGGCAGCAGACTGGGACAGTATTGTGAATATCCTCAATTGTGGGTAAACAGTAGCAGACAGGTTAGTGTGTCCTTTATTGGTTGTCCTCAGGTGTCCAGTGAATCCCTGTTGCATCACGCTGATCATGGCAGCAGGCCATGTAAGAGGCTTGTGTCAAAGTAAAGCAGATCCCATCCTGATAGATGACACTGCAAATCTGATCGGTGCAGTGAGGCAGCTTGAGAGGTGAAGTGAACTGGCTTTTGTAGTTTGTAGTTTGTTAGATTTAAAATGTTTTATAACTAGCAAATACAGAATAATAATGTTATTATAGAAATTGTAATCATTTAGGATTCTACTTTCGAGATCAGTGTATGGTGGTCTAAATTGGATTACAGAGAAAGGATGGCATGTTTCCAAGGATTCTTTAAAAGTGAAAAATATATCGAACTAATATAAAGAAAGCACTAGATTGGTCCTGACCTTGACGTTTAGAAACTATGTGTAAAGGTCCAGTGTGTAGGATTTAAGTGGCATCTAAATCTGTCCCTTCCAGAAACACGCAAAAAAAGTGAGAACAGCCCTTTTCTAGAGTCAGTGTTTGGTTTGTTAATTCTGAGCTACTGTACAAACATGGCGGTTCAACATGTCGGACTCCTTGGAAGGCGGCCCACGGCATTTGTAGATATAAAAGGCTCATTCCAAAGTCACAAAAACACAATGATTCCTATTTTCAGGTGATTATACACTAAACTAAAAACATACTTATGAAAATTATATTACATTTCTAAATGTGACCCTTTAACCATTGTTAGAATAACTGCCAAACTGGCTTAAGATCAGTATCTGTACTGCTACTACACGAGTCATCACTCCCAAATACATGTGAGGTGTGTAACAGTTTGATCAGTGTGTCGGGTGAACCTGACCATTAACTACAAACAGCAACAGTGAAAATTTTCGTTTTAATTTATTTTATCATGTAACACTTAATACAGAGTTGAACGATATATGTTTTTACAGTATAATACAGAATTCAAGTAGTACATGAATATGATTCCATACTTGCATAACGTACGAGAGAAATACAAAAGCATTTTATTTGTCATGATATTCAAACTGTTCAAGGATGGATTCTTAAAGATATTTGTAAATACTATCATTCATACACACATTCACCTGATCCATCAAAGCAAGAAAGATTTAGAACTGACACTGCATAGATAGGTTACATCTGGAGTCTGAGAATAGACACGTTGAGGAGGTATTTATATACAGTTTATAAATCCTTTATACACATAAACACATAATAAAACTCATTTTTAACAATGCAAGATAATCAATAGTTGGGGCCAATATTATGGAAATTATTTTCTTATTAATTTGGACAAAAAAAGGAAGTTTCAATTTATGAGAAGATAAAGATTTTTTTTTTAAAATGGGCAGGTTAACATAGTGACACGCAATATTATTTTTAACTCTGGGAGAGTTGAACTGATATTTCCATGTCTATCTTAACAGGAAAATCAGATCCATAAATCCAAATTAAAAAAAAAGAAAAATGTCTATTTCAAATAGAAAGAAAAAAGAAACACAAATATACATTTATATATAGAGTACAGAGTGTTCTTGGGAAACAAATACATTCTAGAAATGTTTTTTTGTGTTGTGATGAGGTTGTACTGTAACACCATAGCCTTTTAAAATTATTATTATCAGAAAAAGAAGAAGGAGGAGGAGAAGAAGACAGTACCTTTCTTTATTGAACATAACACTGATGGAGCGTGAAATTGCAGGGAGAATAAAACATAACATATCTCCCACATTTAGCTCTATTTCATATATCTGACATAGAAAACAGCCAACACAAGTAAAAATAATGATTCATGAATGAAGATGTGCGTTGTAGCTTGCATGAGGGCAGTTATGCAGTCCAGCATGCAACAGGTGGCTCAGCTGATGCAGACAAGATGGACAACACTGACAGCATATAAATGGCTCACTATTATATCTGCCCCACAGGAACATGTTTCTTCTTTGTTTTAAGGGCAGTTTGACTTTGCTCATAAAAACCCTTTAAATCCCTTATAAATTTTGCTAAATCAAAAAGGGAAAATGCAATAACAGTAACAGAAACAGACTTTTAGATTTACAGACTTCTTTATTGTGTTATCATTTATTTAATCTTTTTTGCAACCCCCTTCAGAATATTCGCATTAGATTAGTCGATGGAAACACACGCTTGTTTTCACACAACATTTGAATGAAAATTAAATTATGGTTAAATTTCTACTACAGCAGGTCTCTAGTGATGTGAAATTACATGTTTTTTTGGATTAGAGGAAAACAAAATTGTCAAAATAAGCAAATGTCACAAACTGAAGCTTCATCAGTCCATGTTTGTTTTAGAATAAAAATAAGGGCCTACTAAATGTTTCTTATAACAGCTTCACTCTAAGCTTTCACCCTTTATGTCACACACCGAACACAGGGAAGCAGTATGTGAACTTAACAACAATGGCCCCATATTACAAAAGGCCTACAGCAGAGGAAAAAGAGGAGAAAAGTCCATGACAAAAATATTGCTATAATTTGCTTTCATATATACACATATATATGTTATACAGTACATGAGTTGTTTTACATGAAAAACATTACAGAAGAAACCAGGTAATACCTGTTGATATTGAGCACTCCTTTTACAAATACATAATTCAGGAGGAGGGGGAGGGGGGGACACTTTTCAGTTTAACAAGTAAAATACAACGGAGAGAACACTAAACTTTAGTCCACCACTTGTTGTCCAGATCGCATCATCTACTGGGAAATGTGACATTGACCGGGTTATTACATTTCCATGCAGTTCAGTTTTAGTCGGCATACTGAAGTAATCTCTCTGAAGTGGTGCAAGTAAAGGCAGATGTAACAGAAAACGTCACACTCAGAAGCTTATTATAGGAAAAACCTAAATAAGATAGTTGGGATATAAGCAGAAGTATTGAGCATGACAACACCTTAATTAACTTAATCCTTGCCCATTCTATCTGCTTACACTCTATTGTAACTATTTAGCATTTAATGTACTCTATCAAAGATATTCATGAATGGGATATAAAGTCTATACAAATCTCTGACATATATGTCCTCAAATGCAATGTACTGTTTCTGAAAACACAATCAGGTTATTAACTCTGGATATTCTCCTGTCTGTGACATTATGAAGCCATCCAGGCAGTGGGATGAACACAGTTACAATCTAAAGGTATATTAAGCAGCTACACTTATGTGTTGCCCCGGCCCTATCTTTTTAATTCAATGACATACATGATCTCTCCAAAGCGTGGCTGCCCTTTAAAACAAAAAACACAAAGTCTCTTTGAGCCCCCAAATTACGCTTAACTCGGCTCCTTGCATGAGTAGCAGGGGCACTTCTCGTACTGCCGCACAGTCCTTTAGCTGAACAGTCAACAATCTCTGGTGAGCTTCAATAGAAATTAAATTTCCATCCCGGGTGGCGTTTCCACAGGTTTCAACCAGTAGTAGCTGCTGAATGTAGTCACATGGTACAAAGAAAGAGGAGTCTCTTGTGTGCCACTTACTGGACGGGGTTTCTGCAGCATTGATTTAACTGGCATCCACAACCTGTGTGTGTGTGTGTGTGTGTGTGTGTGTGTGTGTGTGTGTGTGTGTGTGTGTGTGTGTGTGTGTGTGTGTGTGTGTGTGTGTGTGTGTGTGTGTGTGTGTGTGTGTGTGTGTGTGTGTGTGTGAGTGTGTGAGCGTATGTGTGTGTGTGTGCGTGTGTGTTTTTGTGTGCATGTGTGCAGTCGTCTACTATGTATGTATGTGAGACAGATACGGGACAGTTTGTGTCTGTGCGAGCATGTTTTTCCACTCCTACAGTAAATCATGTTACATGTGAGCACATTTACACGTCTTTTCCTGCTTTCTGACAACCAGTAGGAGTCATTCTCTCTTTCAGATGGTGACGGGGCAGCTGATGAGTTTGTCCTCCAGCATGACACTGACGATGAGGAAGACAAAGTAGAGCACGAACATGAAAAGGCCCAGGACCTTGCTCATTTTCCACTTGCAAGACGCAATGGATATGATGACGAAGAGCAGCATGAGGAAGAGGAGGACGATGGCGCAGAACAGGCCGTTGCTGCTCACCTGCACCGGCTTGAAGTCGTTGATGATGTTGTAGATGAGCCAGGGAAATGGCAGACTGGTGGGAGACGAGGGGAGAGGGAAGCATAACAGAGAATAGTTTTTATTTCTGAGCTCGAATTCTCACTTAGAAGTAGTGATTACACTTTATTTTTGTGTGCTGGACTCACCCCACAGTGATATCAAAGATGTTGGAGCCCACAGAGCTGGACACGGCCATGTCACCGAGGCCTTTCCGTGCCACAATCACACTGGTGATCAGGTCAGGGATTGAAGTGCCAGCTGCTAATATGGTCAGACCCATGATCTCCTCTGTGATCCAGAACGTTTCTCCAACCTGAGAGGAAGGATTTGTTGCTTAATGTTGCAGCTGCACAGTTTTTATTAACTTAATAAGGTTTTTGTGGCATCATTTTGTACACTAAATATACAAACAGAAAGCAACTCGGATCAAGGAGGTGGAGGTCACAGATGCAGAGTTTCAGTGAGGTGGCAGGACAGACAGAAAAGATGTTGGAGGCAGTAACATTATTGTTGCATTTTTAAGTAAGCAAATCTAATCAAATGCAACCTTTTAATCACTTGTTTATCACTTTATGTTTAATTATTTTTTTATACTAATAATATTATTATATTCCACTGCCAATAGATCCTCCTAAATGTTAGGCTGAACCTTTATGAGAAGATGATGGTAATGATTCATCACCTCTAGCTGATTTATAGTTCACAGTCATTTCACGTAACACTTTTGCACACAGCGCTCTGCACCTATGAAAGCTAAAACAAGCACCTGTGCGCCTCCTCATTGACCTTGCACACATGCTTCAGGCCTGTCTTTGCATTTGTGCCGTTAAAATAGAGCGTTACAGATTGAACTGGCTGTGGATCAAGGGAGATTAGGTGGGATTAGCTGCTTTGGTCACACATTCAACACCCTGACTGCTGCACTAAGGATTGCCTCAGAAAAAGAATAGGAAAGACAACAGAGTTGGTGTATGTGACAAATAGAGAAAACCAATCAGTATGTGTGTGTGTGTGTGTGTGTGTGTGTGTGTGTGTGTGTGTGTGTTAAGTACCTGGTGAGCCCACCACACCATCAGGTAGGAGAAGAAAGCAATCCAACAAATGGCGCCGAGGAAAGTGATGGGGAAGAACTTTGCTGAGGTCTGAGAATAAAACGTCAATAAAAACATAATTCAGTTCATCAATGGCTCCCCGAGAACCTGATATACATCACTGCGTACAATACAGTATTTAAAATAGAAAATAAGAAACAAGAGGGGAACCTGCTATTACTGTAATTATTGAACAGGCCATGTAACAAATGAACTAATCTAGAGACAAACTTTAAAGTATTACAAGGATTTGTAATGTTTTTGACTGATTGTGTGTGTGTGTGTGTGTGTGTGTGTGTGTGTGTGTGTGTGTGTGTGTGTGTGTGTGTGTGTGTGTGTGTGTGTGTGTGTGTGTGTGTTGTCACCTCTCTCCTGACGTCGGGCAGTGAGAGCCACAGAGGAAGGATTATGGGCAGGATGAGGAGGTAGGTGATCTGCTTTCTGAGGGTGTCGGGCCAGGCCAGGCTCAGAGGCTGGTCTTCATCCTCCTCTTCCTCAGCGCCCTAAGGAGGAGTTCATTATTTTACATATTTTACAACTGTTCATATTCCTAGCAATACTGATGATAAAGGCAACACTATATATTACTGAGTTAAACCTTCTAATTGTTTTATAGTACAATGCAGCCAGGTGTTGGTATACTGGATATATTTTTACAGCTTTACTGAGGCTCTATAGAAACATATGTTTTAAAAGAGCTAAATGCTGAAAGACCTACCTCTTCTCCTCCTGCAACACCGTTCATAGGTGGTGTGACTTCCACAGCAACATTTGTACTGTTTGGGATGTTTTTATCAGCTTGAGGGAAGAAAAAAGGAGCGTGAGAGGGATAACAGAGTTTAATGGAGTTGTTCACAAAGACATCATAAATTTGAAATGAAAAGTTGTGGTGTAATGACACTAAAAGTAGAGCTGAAACTTAGTACAATTTGCTTTTCTTGGAGGTTGTGTCTGGGAGAGGGCTCCTATGTTGGGAAACAAAATATGCCTGTTAATTTTCTGAACTCATCCTTACAACTGTACAACATTTGAGTACGAGTATCACATTGAAGACTTTTTGTGCCCCCCTCATAATGAATTGATCAATTCACAGATTTACTTGATTTGATGAATAAATTGGTTAATCACATTAAAATCAGATAAATTAGACCATAGATAAATGAATCCACAACTTGCTGATGGTTCACCTTATGATTCATAAGGTGAATGTAAATAGTAAATAAATAACAAAATATGTAATTTGGTGCTTTATCTGATAGTTTGTGAACTACCAGACTGTGTCATACTTTATGGAAGATTTTACAAATGTCAGTTTGTTCTTAATGTTATTATTTGATAATAAATTAAATTATTCATTATTGAAAATACTAATATATTCAATTCTCTAACCTACCTGTTTATTCATTAATTTTTGATTAACAAATTCTTGATTTCTTTATGTGTTGTTTACTATCAACAGCAACTTAACTGATTAATGATTTGATAATTGATAATTGAGTGGCACAAATGGACTCCCATAGCTTCACACATCACAGTAACTCTCCCACACCATTGGCATTGGCGGCGGCGGCGGCGGCGGCAGCCTCTTCTTTACACTTCTGCTTGGCCATTTTGTGAAGGATTGACGCCTTTTCTTTGAAACGTCCTGAAACAAAGGAAGCCCAATAAGTCCAGCATGCTCTCCTAAAAATGTGTAATTAATTATGTATACATGGTCTGTGCTGGGACTACTCACAGGAGGAACAAATCAAGGAATGAGGTAAGGAAATACTAAAAGGTGGAAATTCAATGTTTGGCTATAATAATCCAAAGTCAAAGGCAAAGTCTTACCTTAACCAAACACTCTCATGTGCACAAATATTTTTTTCTGAAACCAAAATCTCAGCCAATCTTAAACATCTTCACCAAAGCTGTTTAACTTTCTTAACATTAACCATTAAGAAACACGTGGTCTAATTCTATGTGGAGGAATGTAATGTTCATATAATTTATGTGCACAGTGCATCCTATGTGTGTCATAGTTTGTGTTTCTTTCACAAGATTTTAACATTATATCTAGTTGCATTTGAGTGCATGTGTGTGTTTTGTGTTTATTTATTTAGTTATTTTTGCTTACCCATACCTTCGTCACTGAGCGGGTCCAGGGTATGGATCATGAGTTGGAAGATGCTGTTTCTCATCAGTGAGTTGTGTAGAGAAGCACAGCTGCCTTCCCTTTGCAGCCTGGGTTTGGCCTATAAAAAACACAAACACAAAAAATCAAAATGTTTGCTAAAATAAAAACATGCTTACTTATTCCACATTCGGCATCATTCATTATTTTTATTCATTTAAGAAACTATTTCCTATAATATGACCAGTACCAGACAAATTTACAAAAGCAAACTCACCGTCAGTTTGTTCTCATCATCTTTGGGTGCATTCACCTTTAGGGAAAAACACAGAGAAAGTAAACATAGTATATATACAGCATAGGATTTCCTATATATACACACAGTAACACAAATGCATGTGCTAAATTATGCTATATTTGTTCAGACTGTGCGGCGTGTGGATTGGATTGCATTACTACAGTAGCAGGATGGGGAGGGGATAAGTGAAAAACAAAAATCAATTATTACAGTTACAATACAGATCAACACACACCAACGAACCCAGACGTGTTAAGGCTAATGTTCAAACTAAAAATGTCTTCAACCATTAAACAATGGATGAGCAATGAACACACACACGTGAACTCCTAAAGCAAAGATAATTATTTTATTTGATCTGTTCCACTAACTGCAACCAAACAATTGAGCATCCCGTCATGTTTTCACTTCAGAGTGGGAAAGACAGGTAGGAAGGATGGTATGAGCCCCATTTAACTCTTCCGAGGAAGAACAGCCTCAGTGTTTAACCCATACTGCTAATTTATTTGATCTAAAAGCACACTATATAAACACACACACTGTCCCTTAATTTCTGCCAGTGTGTGTTACATCATTGTCTCCTCTGTCTTTCCTCCTCCTCATAGTGGGAGTGAACCAGTGCCAGAGGTTGTGGATCTTGTTCCAACATGAAGACTACAGGGAAGGACTCAGGCTAATTTCAACTCCAGTCATTTCTTCAGAGGACATATACAGCACAACAATGTCGCCCCATACTGTAGAGAACCACACACGCGCACGCACACGCGCACACACACCACACACACACACACACACACACACACACACACACACACACACACACAGGCGAGGAATGATAGAGAGTGTCGTGGTGGTTTGTGAAAGTACAGAGGTGGATAATGTCAGCAGTGGGGGGGGTTTGGATGTGGAGACAGATGGGAACATAGACTGTTGTGGGTAGATTGTCAAATGTATTACTATACTGTACTATATTAACTAGTAACTTTATTAACTAGTAATTGGTCTCTGTAGTTTTGCAGTAGAGCTGGATTAAATCACAGTATGACTTAATATGAGAACTTTATAAGAATAAAGTTATTAAAGCTTTCTGATTTGTTTGAAAATTAAGTAAAAATAATGGTTTGGTCAGTTGAGCAATCATATGAGTTAGGATACAATGCAATGAAATATAATAAGTATAAAGTATAAATAAGTTTGATATATATTTAAGGCTGCGGGAAGATGCTTTAACATTTTTGTAATAAAGAAATTAAATAAATTAAATTCCAAAGCAGACAACAAATGAACATGTTATTTGTCTACTTCTCAAGAGCTGTCTTTATCCTCTCAATGTATTGGCCAACACAGATTTGTATGTATGTCACTCACTTTGCACCCTCATGACCGATTCACAGGACTGAAGGGGCTCTCTAAGGCAAAACAGCAAACAGGCAGGATAGTCGTGTCTTATTAATGGACTCCAGGGATAAATGAATCAGTCAAAGCACACAGCTATTGTCCTGTGCACAGTATGCTTTGTATATACTCAATAATCTAACATGAAATAATTTTTTTAAACCTTAGTAAGGCGCTGCAATGGTACTATTCTATCTAAGGTGAGTTCTCCTTGTGTGCCTCATCTTTTTCCTTAAATAATGATAAACTTAATACACAAACAATTACATCACACAGTCCAGGTAACTATGGATTTTCTCTTTAAACATTATATTATAGAGTAGAAACGTCCTACAAAGACAGCATCAGACGATCACCAACACCAGGCAGAGAGATCGAGGTTTTGTTGTTGACACGTTTTCTTGATGGAGGCCCCAGAGTTTGAGCAGATAATCCTTTTAGCTTGCATCTGACAAGACACATGCTGCTGTTATGGCAGCTACAGAAAGGGTGAATCTAGGTTTTTCTTTTTAAAGGGTTATCGCTCATATAAGCTTGTTACATGTTTATCCGATCCAGATTGATTGAGTCAGTAATGCATGAAGAGCTGCTTGCTGCAGTTTAGGTGATGTTACATACTGTAAGATTCACCTACTTAGACTCATTGAAATTAGCTAAAACACATACTTTCAGAAATGTGTCTGAAACTGAAGCTGATTTCTTTTCACTTCAGGTATTCATATCACATTGCTGTTTTTTAATATAATAATTTATAAAAATACATAAAAAAGAGCAGCCATGGACACATGTCTCTATTATCCATGTGATTGCTGAGCAGCGTGCTCTCTGCTCTAATAGCAGAGGCCAGCTTGGCATTAGTTCATGTTGGTTAGTACTCACATGGCTCCTGAGAGCAGCATGGTGACAAAAGACACTTATAACCCTCTGTAGAATCTGCGGAGACTAACAGTGGCTTTTAATGATTGTCCTTAATGTGAAAAGCCAGTTTGTTTATATTTAAAGTAACACAATCCTCAGTCTGACAAACACCTTTAACCTCTGGGATCTATGTAACATTTTAAAACTTGTTTATAAAAACCCAACAACTCATTTTCATTAAGTTCAGCTTTTAAAAAGGTGGCTGTCTATAACTGTACTATAGGTTAAAAGCCTTTTTGTAACTTATTTATAAATGCTGCTAATCTTTGTCACCTTTGTCCTTATTTTCTCAGTTGCCCTCTCCAATCTGATATATAAATAAACCACCAATGACTAATCACCAAAAAAAATCATTAAATACGGTACGGTATACATACAGTATAACTAACCTGTAACTGATAAATTAGCCAGACTTAAAGATGACTGGTACAGACTAAGATAATCAAGAGTGACATTATTTTATACCTTGTTAAAATGTTATGTAATTTACAACAATTTCTACTGTGTTAGATACAATATCACATTTACAGATTGTGTAACGCAAGGGAAGATTATAGTGTTTTCCACTACACTGTTCATATTGTATACAAAAACTGCTTCCATTATGAAGCCACATTTAGTCATTTAGATCTTAATATTGTTTGAGCTTAATATTTGATGCAGTTGTAGAGAATTAATAAGCTCAGTTGCAGCTCCTTGGTTTACAGCGTACATATTATTTTCACTGACGGATAATATAAGGCGATATGAGTAGAAAAAGAAGATACCCACTTGTACATGTTTTACATAGAGACTTTGTCTTAACTGAGGTATTTTTTTGTTTAACAACACAGGCCATTTCCTGCCATTCATATGTTTACTAGCTGTAAAGTATTAAGTGTAATTTTAATTTTATCTACATTAAAACTTTCTCTCTAGAGTAAACTTGTATTCATCTCAACTACAATAATAATTAAGCATCAAAATCCATCTTGTGAAGTAAAGAGTTCATGTTATAACTGTTTGAGGACCGAAGATGATCTGTGTAGGCAAAGAAGGAGGCGATTTTGACTGAGCTGCTGTTCCAGTCCAATGGTCTCATCCTCGGTCCAAACAAGAAGCTACAGACACTGGAACACTCATAAATCCTAAAATCCTAAAGATATACACTAAACTCTGCCTTCATCCCAATTATCATCATAACTGTCATTACTGTGGCACATTCAGATCACCTTCTCTCTCTCTCTCTCTCTCTCTCTCTCTCTCTCTCTCTCTCTCTCTCTCTCTCTCTCTCTCTCTCTCGCTCCAGTGTCCACCTGACTCTCCGAGCTGTGGGACTTAGCCAGGATTAATCGGCAGAGATCACCACTTTTAGACTGGTGATTTTCAAGCATGCGTGTGAAGTCCAGCAGCAACCTTCACAGGTCTCTGTCACTCTCATCTGTCAGCAAACACCAATTACCTTTTTTATTATTTACAGACAACTGCACAACTACTCATTTAAATTCCACTTAAGAGAGTAAGTGATAAGCACCTTGCTCAACTACAAAGTGAAACTACAAAGTCAGACGTGCTGTGGAACTGAAGTAAACGTGCAATGTGTATCTGTACTAATAACTACTGACGGATAAATGTTCCTTCTGTATACAGATACATATCCCAAGACATCTTCAGTTTAGTAGTTTAGGACATTGCAGATGCACAACAATGCTGCACTGTGAGCCAGGTCTGATATTGATGACTGCAAGGAGAATTTTAACATTAAATTTGAGCTCTGCAGAGACAGTGTGTTGGGCTGTATGTTTGCTGTCGTCACCGCAGGTAAGCAGTTGAGATAAGGGGATAAGAAAGGATTGTCGTCTTTAGTGCGATCATCAAGCAAACCAGCATTTTCTCTCGTTACCTCTCTACATAGACACTGTAGGCAGTGTATGTACCATGCAAAATCACTTGAAACATGCAATAAATTACACACAAAAGAAAAACAATGTGAGCATGACTGCAGGCCGAGGAAGGACCATTCAGTCTTTACTCTCAGTGATCTGCTGATTCCTGCTCCCCAAGGGAGCATCTGACTATTATTAGTGGCTCTTATGGGATTGGAGAGCATTAACCTGGAGGATTATTTAGCAGCTAGCGACACATGAGGGCAAGGCAGTTGGACATGAAGTGCCGGACAGACAGAAAGAGAAAAGCTGTTCTTGGGTTGAGGTGAGGCAGCCTGAAGAACAGCTGATTCCCAGAAGGGCACAAATGTCAAACAGAGCTTCTGCAACAACACTGATAAAAACAGAGGTTAATGAGTGCCCAAATATACTGGATATGCTCACAGGTATAGAAGACTACTACAAAGTTCAGATAACGCACTTGGGGCCAGGGGAGTAAAATCATATTGTTATAGTCACTAACTTATTCTTGAATGGATTACAACGAAAGAAAAAATGTTTGGATCTGCCTGAATATAATAAAAGAAAGTACTAAATCAGCCATTAGCTATATATATGTATATATGTGTGTGTATATATATATATATATATATATATATAGAGAGAGAGAGAGAGAGAGAGAGAGAGAGAGAGAGAGAGAGAGAGAGAGAGAGAGAGATTGCTATGCAGAAAGAAAATAACTCATAACTCTATAAGAAAACCCTAGATAAAAGGAAGCCAAGCTTTTTGGGAAGTTGTTTACAATTAGCGTTTAAAGGGAGGAGCTTTAAAGCAGATATACGGCCATGAGCTCATCTGTTGCCTAAAACAAACTTCTACTGGCCTGAATCACTACCATAAAAATAGTTCCCATTGTCTAAATGTTTTCAACTACTATTGTATCTTAACAGTTCTGTATACATATAATTTATATATGTATATATATATATGTATGTATGTTCCTGCAGTGACAAGAAAATGTACATAATATGTCATTAATGTTTCCAGAAAGACAAAAGCCAGATCACGTGCAGCAGTGCACTGTATACGCCCCTGAAGAACTGGTGATGGGTGATGTCGGTCTAGGCTACGGGCAAGCTGCTCTAAGATCAGCCTACAGTAGTTTTAGTATTTGTCACCTGAGCGCCGTATGAGATTACAACATCAGAGAGCAACAGATCTGACTCCAACTGCACACACAGACAGAACAAAAGACGGAGAGACAAACGTGAAAAAACAAAATAGCTTCTTTGTGTGTAAGTGTGTTGAACCTTTTGCACCCCATGCAGCATCATTGTCTATGTGTTATTTATAAAACACAGCAGTAAACAGCACAATGAGCACTCCAAGCCAGTCCCAAGATTAAACTCTCCGATCATCTTGACATGAAGTGATTAGTTTAGTGTTTGTGAAGTGATTGGTATGGTGAGTGCGATGTGAATAGGTCAACATCCTGTGAGTATGAGTCATAGTGTTCAAGAGCCTTTTAGAAAAAAAACCCACTCACTTCTAGCATGTTAAATTAAGTGTTTTTTAATTCTTAAAATACCTTCTATTGTCTTATATGTTCCTAAGATTGTGACCAGATGTATTGGGGCTTATGGGATCTGTATGTAATCCGTGTAAGGGGAAGAACTGCAGTTGCTCGGAAATTATGAGTTGAAATAGAGGACAAACACTACAGCCTTCCTCAAAAGTCAAGAGACCCCTTTCCAAATGTCAGGACAAAGAGTAGGGGAGCTAAAGGAGGGAGTGCGCTGATGAGGTTGAAGAGATGCTACAAGATCTATTTTGATTATCTGCTTTCAGATTTTTACTAATTCTATCCTACAGGACACTCCCAGAATCTCAAATTTCATAACTGTCAGGGTATATTCAAAATATTAGAGAGAAAACCATCAAAATGTCTAATATAATGAACAAGTATCTCAATATAACCACTGTGATTGAAACTGGGACTTATTCTGAAACGACCCACAAGTGACTTACTTACAAAGGAATTACTTACACCTAGAATTTTTAAATAAAACTATGTATTGCAATTTTGCATTGTTATTTCTGATGTTCCGACTGGCTAGGGAGCAGTTTCCACGTGTGAAAATTATAACGTGCTTCCCTTCCCACTGGATGAATAAAAGGTTAATAGCCTTTTGACTTTTTTGTCGCACTGATTTCAGGCTTGTGTAATTCCAGTCATAGAGGTTATATGACTCTTTGGCAAAGACTGTGACAGTTTGTAGATACAGCCTCTCAGAGGTGGTTTGACATGAATGATAGATGGGAACGTGATCCCCATTAGAAAATACAGAAATTGTAAAATAAATCTACTGCAATTAATCTTTCTATTCTAACATAAAATGTCTTTGTATTATTATCCAGTTGAACAGAGACATTTAACAACCAGTTTTTGTTACATCAGTCCTATTCTGAGAGTCTTGCTGGTTACTGAAGTTGGTTACTAAAAGTAGTGACTGAAGACAAGGCCGGTTCCTAGAGTTAGTCAGCACCAAGAAGCTGTGATCTGGCTCTGTGTCTGGCACTGTCGGAGCTTCACAGGTGGCAGGTTAAGACAAATCTTTATATCCTTCCAGAGGGGAATTCAGAAGGGTTTGGCTGCCTGACAGACTGCTGTCTTTAACACCCTCTCCGCTTCCTGTATAACACCCTCTCATATTCTCAGAACAGGAGTACTACTGTTCTCTGGGTCAGTAGCCCTGACAGGTTCACTCTGTGATCATCATTATGAAATACAATCACTTTTCTCAGAATAGTCATGAACAAATGCTCAGATTTCAGCTAGGAGACTCTGAGAAATGTCCCCATCCACTTCAGAAACTCATATTAAGAATCACAAATTTCCCTTTCCATGTTTTCTGGAAACCAAAGAAGTCATGTAAAGAATTAAAAAGTTCTTGATGGTTGTTTCTGTTGGAGATTCTCCTTCTGTGGATGGAGGGGTCAATCAGTGAATGAGAACATTGGTGTAAATGTATGGGTGGGTGGGTGGATGAATGTAAGGGTCAGCTGTTGGCACCCCGAAGGATGGCTGCTGTTAAGCAAAAAAGTGGCAAGAGTAGGGTGGGTATCAGAAATAAGTACATCAATCAATGGATGTACAAATGGATGAAAGGAGGGGTGAATGGATGGATGGGCCAATGAGAGGAGGGATGGACAGAGGACAGAGTCAGGCTCACCTTTGGTGCAGTCTCCAGCTCGTTCACCTGGTTGCTGCCCAGAAAGTTCTTGATGACAAGTTCTACTTTGGCATTGAACTTCATGAATGTCACATAGCAGGTGTAGCACATCAGCAGGCTGACACTTTCCCCCAATGTGATTTCATTATCCAGAAAGAAATAGATGAGCAGGAGCAAGCCAATGATATAGAATGAGACGTCTCTGAACAGAGGCCACCAGGTGAGGTTCAGCACCTCTTTGGAGAACAGGGCGCACATCCCGATCACAAACAGGATGTTGAAGACAGCAGAGCCCACAATGGTGCCAATACCCACGTTACTATGGGAGACAAAGACTCCTATGACAGAGGTGAAGAGCTCCGGGGCTGAGCCACCTGCCGCCATGAAGGTGGCTCCTGCTACATCATCAGAGATCTCCAGCTTCTCTGTGATGACAGTAAGAGCAGGAACGAAGAACTCATCACAGACGATGGCTAAGGATATAAACATGTACAACATGCCAAACATATGAAAAACCACATAGCCCTGGCGTCTCTCCTCCACACTGAAGTAGTCCGTTGGGTAGTCCCCGTGATTCATCTCTATTTCAGATGAGGATTTCATGGCTACCGGTATGTCCTCTGGTGCTGCTGTTAGGTTGTGGTGCTGCAGAAGAGTTCTTTGGGGCACTGCTGCCTCGGCTGAACCCTCGCCAGCCAATTCCGGCTCCTTGGCCACTGCTGTGACCAGCGACAAGGCACTCCATGAGCAGACTGTGCAGGCCACTGCCAGGCTGATGATGAAGCCCAGAATCCGTCCAGGTCGCAGCTTTCTTCTGACACCCTGGTAGTGGTGCCTGGTGCAGCTGTTGTGAGGTCCCAGAAGAGGTGCAGAGCTGGAGGAAGCCATCATGCCATGACTCCTTATGGGTTGCATGAAATCCATGGTGTTTGGCGCAAGTTGTCAGGCAGAGTGGAAGTATCTGGAATCCCCCCCAAAGCTGGGCTGGTGGTGCTGGTGGCTACAAGGGCGGGGGTTTGACAGGCCGCAACGGTTTATCGATTTGTTTGCATGCTGCTCCCCAGTCTAAACACAATGGAAGCCCTGCTGTCTGATCCCAGGATCCAGCCCATTCAAAGGCTTCCTCATATTACTCACTGCAAGACAAAAATGTTACAGTTTTAATGCAAGGGAGCATATATATTACCCTCTTCTTCTGAAGCTTTTCCACTCATGATATCCATCTAGTTACAGGGCTTTTTAGCAGGGGTAAAAAAGTAACTATGAGAATATTTACTCAAGTACTGTAGCAAGGTAGAAATTTCATACACCTGTACATTAATTAGTACTCCACTGCATTGCAGAGGAAAATATTGTACTTTTTATGCACAAGATTGATCTAACAACTATAGTTACTTGGCAGATAAAGGTTTGCTACTGAAGTTGTGTGAACTCTGAGGTCCATATTTGGCTCTGCTCCTGACAGATTCATAAATGTGACTTCAAGTTCATGAGGCTCAGATGAATAATAATTGCTGGTCGGGTAATCTCTCTGGATTGTTGTTAAATTTATGTTTAATGAAAGTCTGATATGCAAATTAAGTCGGTTTATGTGAATCAGCATATTTACTCATATGTTTATGTAAAAGTACAGTCATTTATTACATAAACATTTCTGAAAGTCTGAATTCTGAAATCCTCTAATTTTCTTGTATCTAGAGTGACAGCATGTACTGAATTGCTAATAACAGTCGATAGTAGCAATATTAATAGCAGCAATTCTGTTAAAGTGCTGTGGCCTTCTTGACATTGTGTTGAGAACCTGCAGTCAGATCTCTCCTTTAAGTGAAGCTTGCACATTAGTGAAAGCTCATTAGGAAGCTATTTAATCCCTGAGAAGATATACTTAGATTAGCCTCAGGCCCTGCACACTGAAGCCACTGCACAAAGTCAAAAAGTAGACACCAACAAAATGATCAGTAAATTTGAGGGACAAATTAGAGCTGGTGAACATCTGACTTATTCAGCATTGAAACAGCTACACACTGCAATGTTGAAACTTCTCACAAGTCCAACACAATGCCCAGTCTTCTGCAGTCCACTATGAAAGACAATTTTATTATGTATGTGTAAAAAATTTATTTAACCATTTTAAAACCAACTGTGGAATGTTAAAGTAGCATTTAAGAATCAAGCTGGACTCTCGTTGGACACATAGAGCAAAGAAAGACTACAGCTACACAGAAAAAGCACAAAAATATATTTTTTTCTCATACCACATTTGGAAATCTCCCGTTCAGCAGTAAGGACTCCAGCAGGTAGTCAGGTGCTCTGAGTGGATATTCCACTAAATTGAATCCCAAAGGAGAAAGGTCCAGAGGGCTGAAGGTCCGAACAGTAAATCCTCAATGAGATTTTTTCTCCCTCAGCCTCAGTGGAGCTCCAAGACACCAGGTCAGGAGCCAGAACCAACAGCTCCTCCCTCCCTTTCAGTGATCCTTCCCCCTTTGACACTGCCTCCCTCCTTCCCTTCTTCAGTATATCTTCCTCTCCTTGTCTTCTCGCTATCCAGGCCCAAGAATGAGGATCAGTGCTGTCCATCACTGTCCGTCTTCCTTCTTTCCTCTCTCCACCCCCCACCAACCTGTTCCCACCTCCCCCAGTGTCATGTATCATTTCTTTCCACCCCCATGCCCAGGGAAATGGGTCTTACACAAGGAGCTTACAGCTTGATGGGACTGAAGCCTTTTGTGCCATCAGATCATAGCTCTGTTCTCAAAGACTTTGAAAACTATCCCAATTACTCCGTGATATAACACATTGCAGCAGCTTCATAACTCTTAAATTAAGATGTTTAACTCTTTGGAGTGAAAGATGCATAAAAGCCTTTTTTTCAAACTTTAGTCTTGCACATACAATACATTTATTGATTATTTTTGCACAGGTTTCTTTTCTCATTATTTACATTTTGCATTATGAATGTGTACTTTTAGCCAGAGTTTTTCCTTAGTATAAAAAGCCACTTCTTTCCAATTCATCATTCATCATCAATCATTGTGCAGCTTTCTTTAAAAAAAGAGAGGGTTTGCACAACATGTTTCAGTCATAAACAGCCAGTTGTTGGAAGCGACGTCACCATGGCGTCTGTCTTTCATTTCCAGCATGTCTGTAATTGGCTTTGGGTGCACACCTGCTCCTAAGAGACAATCCTGCATCCTCCATGAGCACAATAATAATGCCTACTGACACATGCTGATGTGGCTCCACATACTGGATGTGGCTCCAATATACAGGTCCCAGAACACGAGACTTAGAATTAAAGAGTTATTGGAGATAAAATCATTATTTTACCAAAGGAATCAAATTATTTTCAAATATTTTAAAATTATTTTTTTAAAGTGGAAATTGGGATTGAGCAATGTGTGTGTGTGTGTGTGTGTGTGTGTGTGTGTGTGTGTGTGTGTGTGTGTGTGTGTGTGTGTGTGTGAGAGAGAGAGAGAGAGAGTGTGTTTCTCCTGACTATGAGGACACTTCAGTAGAATACGTGCTGACTCTGTGAAGACTTTACCTAACTGTAAGGACAAATGACAGAAGTAGAAGCACTTTTCTCCACATGCCCTAATAATTCTGTAATACCTGAATTCTAGTGTGTGTATGTGTGTGCACGTGCTGATGTCAGGTCAAGCTTCACACATGAGAACTCTAAGCTTAAGTAGCCATCTGAAGGTGAGTTCAAATGTGACCTATTCTGTTAGGTAGTGTGTCCCTAACATAGCACCAGGTGCAGTGTCTGTGTGTGTGTTTGTGTGTGTTTGTGTGTGTTTGTGTGTGTGTGTGTGTGGAGAGAGAGAGAGAGAGAGAGAGAGAGAGAGAGAGAGAGAGAGAGAGTGAGAGAGAAGATCTGACATGTGTAGTTTTATAAAAGCCAAAACAATTAATATAACTCACTAGAAGATTAGAAATAGAAATCTTGCCACTGTTTCCAGCCTCCTACTGTTAGTAGACAATTAAACACAAGCATACTTTTAATGGAATGGACCACTAACTTTCCCGTACCCTTTTGGAGCCAGTTATTAATTTTTTTAATTTTTCATCTGTTTTTAATTTTTATTTTATTTAAAATTTTGTTTTTTAATTCAGTTTAGTTCCCAGGGGAGTTTTTTAAAATTATAATAGAGGGGATATTTGATAGGGCCTATACAAACACAGCACCGCCATACATGCTTGACAAATTTGATCAAAATGACAAAGGCCATTAACTAAATATTTGAATTTGATTTTAGTTAGTACACATTATCATTCCTGTCATTATCAATCTTTGTCTTTTTTTTTCTAAAGTCTAGATTTCTTTTCAGTTGGTTTTAGTTAGCTATAATAACCTTGCTAGTGTGCTTTTTTAAAGATGAGATGAGAGGATGATGCAGTTTCAGCTTTCTGGCTGTATGTCCAGGTGGACTGTGCACTCTGTGGGACAATCTTACACAATGGAAACCAGAGAAAATACAAAGAAAATGTGCAAAAATGACTTTGATAGGATGTTTTGTCCTCTCTATATTTAGTACAGTCTATATATTTCCATACTATAAAACAACGAGGCAATTCCACAGCCTGAGGTGACACCAAGCTGTTTGACCTCAGTAAGGATGCTGTATTCAGACCATGGCTGCTATATTAAGGGCTTTGTAAAGTCCTGAAAAGGCTAAACTTGTTACATAACCAAGCAACCAAGCTAACCTAACCCTCTTTATTGGACAGCAGAAGTACATCGCCTGCAGAACTTGAAATAAAAATAAGTCTCTTGGCAGGAAACTAGACATTTGGTAGCTCTTTCAGGTCAAGTTTATGCTCTTCTCTTACAAAAAATAAATCGTCTTTGAGATAGCTCGAGTTACCGCACAGAGGAGGAGACTAATTACAAGTGAGCACAAACATTAGCCCAACTTTGGCGGATAGAGTCCTGGATTAAAAACTTGATTTTGCATCAGATAGTTATTTGCATGATGGAGTCATTTGGCAGATTTTTAGGCTCACTTGTTTCAGTAGTAGGCCAGGCAGAGAAAAGTGAGAGAGACAGAATCATGTTCCTCTGTGAAACTGGGATCAGCAGGAGCTTATTGGATGAAGCCTGTGCCTGAAATAGCTGTGCAGTTATATATGAGTTAGAGAGAGAGTGAGAATAGAATTTGCCTCCTCTCAAGGTAACTGACACACAGCAGCAAGTTTGACATGCAATAGTAGGATAAACACAGGTGTTACCAATGATACTAATTACGGTTTCGTTCCATTTAGTGTAGCAGAGCCTCTCCAGGGAGCCATCATGCACAATAGCAGCACCCTGACTCTGTTTGACCTGAATGGAACAACACCGTAATTAGTATCATTGGTAACACCTGTGTTTACTCTACTATTTTATGTCCAAATGGTTGCTGTGAAAAAGGTCTATGATAATGGTGGCAGATTTACCACTTCAAAAGTAAGCAAAAAGGTCAGCGTACTCACCAGTTGAAGATCCATGATGGTGAAAATAAAGTATTGCAGTGTAGAGCTAATTAGCTTGGTCACTGTGGGTGCTTAGCTTACTTGGACAAGCAACAGAACATGTTTTTAACTAAATTCTGCTTCATTGTTCATATTGTTCGACCTTGCTTTTGAAATTTCAAAAGAAAAGGCTTTGAGAATATGAAGTAACAGAACACCACTTGCATTTGTATTTGACAACCTGGGAATGAGAATGGGCTGTGAAGAGTGTAGGAGAAACTACAGTGGCCACAAAACTTTCAAAAAAACCTGAAAGACCCAATCTACAGTCATTGTTTGTTTTGTCTGTTCTGGGCTACTGTAGAAACAGCAGACTCCTAGGAAGACAACCCATAGTGGCTGTAGATAAAAAGGGCTCATGTTAAGTTAATGAACATGTTTCCAATGACATGATGAAAACATAGTTGCACATATTATATTCAATGAATGCCAATAGATCCTTACACATTGGACCTTTAAATAACAAGTAGGCTAAACAATGGGATTTTTCCATTGAATTTTGGATTATTGAAGAAAATAAACTCTGTGGCAAAAAAAAAAGTTCAGCAAGATAATCCTCACATATGAATGTGAATCATTCAAGCATATGAATGCCGGATGTAAAACGCAAACATTAGGCTATAAACGAACTACACCACAGTCACATGACATCAATGTCACCACCACTAAACCTTCAACTTGTAATTCAATCTTATTAAAACTAGTCTAGATAAGTCTCCTTATCGACTCTGATTGGCGTGCAGACATTTAATAACCCTGACAACCTTTGTAGTCATCTAGCCACTTGTTAGCAACTGCCTTTTTTAAGACACGTAAAAGCTTCCAAATTTGTGGGTGAGATATTTACTGTCGAAGAACAAATCTCTTAAGTTTGTGTTAACTACATACCCTATTACAGGCACCTTATAAAAACCCATTTAAAAAAAGGGAACCGGGGGTGCAACAGTGCTAACTCTAATAGATCTTACAATAGCCTCATGCTCACAATTTCAACATCAGGAGATATCTAAAGGTCTCACAGGCCTGTCACACCCAGTTGCGGTTAGTTGTTTGGAGAAGGGGTTTAGCTAATGGTCGATTATAATGCATGTTTTCTTTTTAAATCTATCTGTATCTAAGGTTTAAGTTACAGATAGAAGCACGTGTCCAGATAAAAGAAAAAGGGCTTCAGTTTCACAGGGGAAAGCTGGCAGTAATGACTGATAATGCTGCAGTGCTTATGTGTTTGTTCTTGTATGTGTGGCATAAGTATATGTTGTACAGCTGGCAGAACAATCCGTCTTCCATTATAAGGAACGCTTCTATAGGAGGCACAAACTGACAGTCCTGATATTATACTGATCATATGAGAGAAAAATCATACACTTTCTGTTGAATAGAATATTTTACTATATGATGTGATTAATTTAAAGTTGGATTAAGTCATGAAGTAGCAGATTGATAAGAGAAAAAATATATATTTTAAGAATATTTCTAAAATATCATATTGAAGTTAGTTATAAGAAAATAAAATGTTAAACTCACTGTAAAATCATTAAACCATAACGGATAGCTTCATTGCTGTTTTGCTTTTTTTTTTTTAGCACCCAACTGAAGTTCAGTGCAGGAGAACTGCACCTGTTTCCTTTTGACAGCTGACACATTTTATACTTTAAGATGCAGCTGGAGCGAGTGTTTCCCTTCAGATTTCTGTCAGCAACAGGAGGTAAATGTTAGTTTGTCTGGCTCACAGCTCTCTGTAGTTCATGTTACAGAAGAAGTTCTGTTAACCTGTGAAGAGGTCATGATATCAGTAGCTCAGATGGCTGGTGGAGGGACAACTCTTGCAGTTCATTAGTTTTAATTACCTCCACCTTTTACCGCCAGCACATATCATCATAAAACTAGAGGTGGAAAAACGACCATTTAAGTACACTAAAACTAAATAATATTAAATAGTTTGTGATCTGTGATCTGATCATTGTCTGTCAAACAAGATGTAGAGTTTTTCATGTTTAGGACATTATTATAGGACATAATTAATCAACATTAATGTCACTAATACTGGCTGGATGGACTCACAAAACTTCCAGTTCTGGGGACTTTTATCATCAATGGGTTGGAAATGTTGCTTGGGTAAATTAAATTTGTGTTAAGGATAAAGGACAATAGGAAAAACAGCTCCATCTAGTGGTTCAAGTACAACACTACTTCTTTTTGTAGTCAGAAACAAATTGCCAAAAATATTTCAATAACATACCGAAATGTAAATTTTGTTGGCAGGGAGCTGAAACACACAGAGGGACATTATCATGCAGCATTCTGTGATTCTAGTGTTTGAGAAGTACTAATTCACCAAATGTTTAAGGATCTTTCTGTCTGTTTCTAAACTGAGCAGCGTTAAGAGTTGAAGCACTAACAAATGTTAAATCTTTTTGGATCATTGTATCTAAATGCACTCAGTGTGCTTTGAGTGAGACTAACATAATCCATGTAACATTAAGCACCTGCAATAACAAACACATTCCCTAATCTGCAGATGGTGTTTATAGAAAATTTGCAGGGGACTCATTTGACTTCAGAACATCAGATTACAAAAGTTGTGTTTTTTTTCCATTGGAGGGCCTGTGGTGTAAAATAATTTATAGATATGAAAAGTCCTTGGGAATTATATTTTCATTAATGTTTAGACAAAAAAACTAAAGAGCATAACAATAAAAGAAGGAAGACGTCTGTTCCATGCGTAAACGGCAACACAGGGCTTGTCTGATGCACTTTGAAAGGAAATAAAATGTTGAATTCTAGCAGAAATAAGTTATGTAAAGACTGTTTATTTGCTTCCAAGTATATATTTTTAGAAGTATTTTCAATGTGGATGGTAAAGCATATATCACTTCATACCCTCACAGATAACTGATCCATCAAAACTAAACCGTTCTAAGTCTAAAACAATGCAAACCCTAGACTGTTTTAATACAGTATATATTACTTTATACTACAATATTACAATATAAAGAACCTGTGATGACATTAAGTACTTTATGCATGCTTAACTCCGGCCAAACACCAAAATATTGTTGCAAAAAGATGGAAAACATCAAAGAGGGAATTTGGGGAATATTTTATTTGGAGGCTTCATTTTTTCATAACATCTTAGATTACAACAGTTGCAAGAGATTTCCACATGTTAACATTTATAAATGTGTGTTATCATCCTTCATCCTGAAAGCACAATTAGAAGACGCTGTTGGTGCCAGAACAAAGACAGAAAGAGTATGGTTTATGACAAAAACAAGTTGACTGTGAGAGTGGGACAATGTGTGCACAGTTTTATGCATCCGGCTCCAGTAGCTTTACTTACTGACTACAAACACAAACCCTGCCTTGTACCACAAACTAAATATCCTGGCACCAGTTGACAATCTTGACAGCTCAATGGTACAAGAAGAGCACACTGACTGTTTGGCAAATAGGCTCTGTGATCTCAAGGTTGTGTGATGAGAGGACAAGTAGCAGCTTCATGTGCTCAGTATTCATTCAATCTCTACAGTGCAGGCTAAAACTATAGTGCAAAGTATGTTTAGTTATCAGTAACAACTGGCTTTTGTGCCACCTCAGAAAGCACTGCACTAGTACTGACCATAGGGCTGAAACTACTACTGAGCCTCTGGTGAGATATTGTTGGGTTTAATCAAAGAGCCTGATAGCCGAAAGTTTAGTGAACTACATTAAGGCGACTTTTAGAAAATTCAAAAGTCTTTGGCAGAAAAAAAAAGGGGTCGAATGAGTTATTTGAGCACAGTTATCCCTTTGACCTTTGAAACTATAACACCAATGCACTGTCCAATTACACAAGTTACTGATCGTCCATAACTTCAGAAATCTGAGCAGCACCACACAAAATTACCATGACACACGTGCCTGTGTCATACTGAGCTCCTTCCGAAAAAAACCCCAGAGGAATTGATTAAATTTCCCCTCAAATTAAGTGCCTTTTTATTACCCATTTCTAAGCTCTCTGCCACCCTCAGCACTTGGCTTTCTTGCCGTAGCTGTCCACTACATCTGGCACGACGCTCTCGTCCTGCTCCACGTCCTCCGTCACGCTCTTACCGACCAGCTGGAAGATGTCCTCGGCCACGACGCCCATGGGCTCGGCCACCTTCACTGTCAACATGTCCAGAGTCAGGACAGTTCCTCTGGGGATCTTGACTTTGGCCACCACTGACTTACCCAGCTGGATTAGACAGCAAGAGGAGAGGGACATTAGTTAAATTACAAATTGAGGTATTATTTATCATTTATTTTGGATATCAACCGATATTACACCTGGTCAGGGACGACAGTTAATTCTGGCATATATGCAGCAATGTTTATTAACATGCACTGTCCCTAACAAATCAATGTATAAGCTAATCTAAACATTTCACCTTATCATGGCATGGCTTCTCACAAGGTAACATGTTCTTGAGGCCGCTCCCCATCGCCCTCTCCACCAGTCGGATGGAACGAACCAGCTCAGTCAGCTCGGAGGGCTCCAGCGAGGCGGCATGGTCACTTCCTTTCCATGTCTTGTCCAAGGTTATATGACGCTCGATGACCTTTGCCCCCAGAGCTACAGCCGCAACTGAAATACTGATCCCAGACTCGTGGCCGGAATACCCAATGGGAATATCTGGAAATTCCTTCTGGTATTCCTGTTGTTGACAAGTGGGTAGAACGTTACACTTAGAGAGTAGTTTGACATTTTCAGGGAAATAGGCTTATTTGCTTTCTTCTCGAGAATTATGTGAGGAAATTTATATTGTTCTCATGTTTGTAGCTTAGCTTAGCATAAAGACTAGCTAGCCTGGCTCTGTCCAATGGTAACAAAATCTACCTACCAGCCACAAACTATTACTTTAAGTGGGACATTAGGGACATAAACTGCTGTGAAAATGTCTGGACACTCTTCTTTTTAAATGTATTGTGAAAATCTGATTGTGTGTGTAGTATCTAAGACACAAAAAGCTTAAACTTAATCATTGTAAGTGTAATTGGGGGAAATACGTTGTACATGCTAAAAACACTAACTGGAATGAGACACTTTTATTTTAAAGGCCCCTAAAACTGAATATTCACCTGCTTAAAAACTCTTTTGTATTCTTCTCACCGTTATCACTCGGAGGTTGACATCTTCAGCTTCCAGAGGATAGGCACTGGTGCACTGCAGGATAGTAAAGTTCTGGTTGTGCTCCTTCACTGTTTTGTAGACACGGCGCATCGTCTCCATGGACTGCATCCCACTGGACACCACCATGGGACGTCCTGACCCAGACAAGAGGGCAACAGTCTGATAAACATCATGTCTAATACGAGGGCCAAGTGCAACACTTCTCTTTACTCTTAAGGAGACCCTGTTGTTCATAATGATGAGACAGAGCAGACTGAAGGATACAGAACAACAGTTAGTTATAAAATTCAAAGGATATTTTAATGTCCATAATGATAAACTGATACATCTGATGATTCAATCTCATACTTGAAACATCTTCCCAGATATGACGGTTCACTCTCACCTTTCTTGGCGGTCTTCTCCAGGTAGGGGAAGTTGTTGGTGTCTCCAGAGCCCACTTTGAAGAAAGGCACATTGAGCTCATGGAGGAAGTCCACTGCCATCTAAAGACAGAAAACGTTGAACTTAAACCGAACTCAAACGTCATAAAACCTTCATCAAAAGTGTCTTTCTTACCTCATCCATCCCCGAGGCAGTGAAGAAAATTCCCACCTCCTCTGCGTATTTCTGCAGTTCCTTGTACTGCTTGTGGCTGAACTCCAGATGGCGCTTGTGTTCCCCATAAGTTTTTCCCCAGGAGTGTTTAGAAGTGTACGGTCGCTCCAGGGCTCGCTTGTTAAATTTGTACTCTAATTCACTCTTCTGGAATTTGGCACAGTCAGCACCACAGTCCTGTGAAGGTAGAAATAAGTGAGGCCTGAAAAAGATGGAACGCTTGAAGAACATACCCATGATTTATTTGATTGTAGGGGTCCTATAGATTCCTATAAAGTCCTGGAACTGATATACAGCTGTAAATTCAAAGGAAGATTCCTGAAAAGGACTATTTGGTACTAATTAGAGGGAACAGTGTTCATTTACCACACATCTAATGAATTATTTCAATTATATTTTAATTCAGTGTAATAAAGAGGATTTTTTTCACAGGGTGAGCAAAGCATACATTTTTTTGTTCTAAAAAGCAAAATAAAATGATCATATTGTATTTATGTATACAATAATGTATTTACTTGCAAAATTAATAAAAACATTTTTAATCTCAACACAACTAAACTAAACTTTGTCCCTGTTTTAACTATAACTGCTATCAAAAATACATGGTTCCCTTCAGGAAATCATTCAGAAATTACACACCTGTAAAATAAAGTGATACTGAAAGTATAAAGGATGAGTCATACTTGAGGTTTTGACTTTTTTTCTGAACATTTTCTTAATTTTTCACCCATTGCTTCACAACACTAGCAGTAAACTCCAAAAGCTTCTGCTAAAGGAAACTCTTGCTCTGTTGGTCCTTGTAGATTATTCACAGAATCAGTGACACAAGCAGTCGTTTAATTCCTGCTGTAGCTGACAATTACCTTACGATACAACATCAGAGAAATGAAGACAGATGAAATGATTACTATCTCTTGTGTGTAAGGCTGCAGCATATTGCAGCTCTCTGTGATCCAACATCATCAGCCAAAGTGAAAATCAGAAATATTATAGATTATAGATTTATAGAAAAAAGATGATTATTCTTAACTCAAGTACATTTCTTTTGACATGTTGGGATTCAGGATTAAAGGGTTATTATATTATTTTAGAATAATGGGTAATAGAGATGTGTATATGGGTGTCTTTATGTCTATGGGGTAGCTGAACTGAAAACCCACCACACAGCCACGCACTGTGGCTTCAATGCAGATACGGTAGCCTAGTATGGCCACTATGTGTAAGGCGTGAACAGACAAGCCTAACTCATTCATTCACAAATCTAGCAAGTTAATATTCTGATTTTTAAAATCCAACGAGGCCACTTGAATAGAGATGGTCCATAAATTAGCAGATTATAATGTGAATGATCGATAAGTCGATAAACAGACACTGGCCAGGTTTATATGTCATACAAAGTAATGATTCAGACGAGGGCGGGGTGGCGAGCAAAATATTAAATTGGTAGTTTTTTTTAAATTGAGTTTTGTGTAAATTAGTGTGTGTGTGTGTGTGTGTGTGTGTGTGTGTGTGTGTGTGTGTGTGTGTGTGTGTGTGTGTGTGTGTGTGTGTGTGAGCCCTGGCTGTGTAAGAGAAGAATGAGAGAAAGAAACTCACTCTTTCACGTTCAGAATTAACCGATAGGAGTCAAGTTTATTACCTTTGCCATTTTGATCATTTTCTTGGCAATCTCAATGTCTCCCTGGTGGTTTTGTCCAATTTCAGCTATGATGAAGCACGGATGGCTTCCTCCGATCATCCTACCGGGACACAGCTCAAACTTTAAAGGCATTTTGCTCAAAGAAAAAGGAAACAACCAGTGAAAGTGATTATTAGCAGAGAACAGGACGGAGAGCCGCGAGCTGAGCCTGGATAAGCGGACCCGGATGAGTTAACGTGCTGCACGTCCAGGATGTGCAACCACTTCCGCGTTTGTAGCGTAAGAGCCGGATTTCCTTTAAAAATAAAAGCATACATTTATTTTGTTTAATAATATTATATTTTATTTAATTACATTTTATTTAATTGTATCTTCATTTGAAGTTGTTGACATACAGAAACAAAAGAAAACATCAACCAGAATCACTCACTTACAGACGAAGTATTGACAAAACAAAAAAAGTGTCAAACATAAAAAAGACAAACCAAACAAACCAAAGTAAGATGAAAGAGAAATTATAAGGTTAAAGATATTGCATACCCTTCATTGCATGGTTTATTTTATTTTTTGTCAGGAAGAAATCATCACAAAGGCTTCATTCACATTGAAGGAACATTTTTGCTCATATATCTTTCATTCAAGTCTGAACAGCACATGTGGAATCTGATCTTTTCATTTCTAAATTTGGGCCACTTTGTGACCTCAGTGACTATTTAAGGGCCACATGTGGCAACTTACATGAATAAAAGTTGTAGATGTAATCCCAACACCATCATTATCAACATACACACAAATACAGTATATGTACTGTATATATGTAGGTACTGTTTACCCCTGCTTATTTATACCACCTTTTTTTTTTATTAACTGCTGGGAAAATGAGGCAGGGATTCAAATACAGATGACGTTCATTCCACATGTAAAATTGGCCATTGACAGAAATTCTACCATGGCATCTCAGTTTGGAGAGGAGTTTAGCATGCAGAGCGCGGATGCACATCTGGTAGTATGCATGTGATGTGAAAAAAAATTTTTTTGCATCCATCACATCAAAAGACAGTTTGTCCCTGGTGTGTTTTAGTAATCCTAATATTTTGCCTTCTGGTGTTCAGTTTTCCATCTTTCTTTTTTTTCCTCTCCTCCAATTTATGTTGTTTTCTACGCCTGTTATTTCTAATGACCCTAGACCGTGGTTAATAAAGTGTGCCACTAGATGTGTGTGTGTGTGTGTGTCTTTGTGGTTTTTAATGTTAGATATGTGTTGTGCCAGTCTAGATGTAATTGTGTTGTCTGTTTCTCCTACGTATGAAATGTCGCAGTGTTTACACCTTATGACGTATACGCAGTTTTGTGTGTTGGTCGTTAGGGTCTGTTTAATGAAGTATGTGGTGTTGTTTGTTAGGTTTTTAATTGTTTTATTTTGTCTTAAGTAATTTGGAAAAGTCCTTTCCACTAAAACACACAGACCTAATCCTCTGTTCCTCTCTTTGTTCTCTGTACTGTATCTCTTTCTGTTCACACACTGCAACACCGTTTATCTCTGTCCATCTTCTACCTGTTTCCCTCTCTCTTGTTCTATTTCCCTGTCTGTCTGTCTGTCTGTCTGTCTGTCTGTCTGTCTGTCTGTCTGTCTGTCTGTCTGTCTATGTGCCTCTCTCTCCCAACCTTTGTGGAGGATCCTTTATTCTATCATGTCTGCCAAGATGCTGTCATCATCCTCCACGTCCACTTTGATCTTCTTGCCCACCAGCTGATTCATGGTCTCTGGAGAGATGCCCTTTGGCTCGCCAACCTTCACTGCAAACATGTCCAGGCTCAGCACCGTGCCTTTGGGGATGGCCCCCTTAGCCACCACCGACTTGCCCAACTGGAGCGAGAAAAGGAAAGAAAGACACAAAACCACTGATAAAACAATACTGAACACTTAACATTCCAGTGGAACAAACTAACGTGTCCATCTTATCATCATCTCGTCTCAGTTGTTGCCAAACTGACTGTCACACAGGTTGATCTTTTAATAGAAACTGGATGTTTCAGTTAGGCTTGTTGGACAACATACCACAAAACATTAAGATTCAAAATATGGACTTCAACTTGTTTGACTAAAACAAGCTTTCAATCTGATACCAAGTAGTACCAGGGCTTGGATCACCAATACTGATACAAACACTGTTTATTAAATTATTTTTATTAAAATCAGTGGAGTGCCCCTTTAATCCAGGTGTGTGTACTTTTTTGCAACTCTACAGAGTAAATTATGCTGAATGAACTGAAGGGGATAAAGACTGGAAGAGGGGGGAAACACTTGACAATGACTGACCTGTTAGTGATATGAAGTCAGATACATTTCATCTAAATCTAAATGAGTCCAACCAACCTTATCATGGCAGTTCTTCTCACAGGGTAACATCTGCTTAACAGGAGATCCCATCGCCATCTCCAGCAGTCGGATGGCTCGGACCAGCTCTGACAGCTCTGAGGGCTCCAGGGATGCCTCGTGATCATTTCCCTTCCAGGTCTTGTCCAAGGTCACATGACGTTCCACGACCTTTGCTCCCATCGCCACAGCGGCCACAGTGATGTAGAGTCCCTGCTCATGTCCCGAATATCCAATGGGAATGTCTGGGAATTCCTTCTGGTATTCCTTCAGGAAAAGACAGAGAGTAAAAATATATTTGTCACCAATATTCGTAGTCTGCTTCCTTTATGGTTGGGTTGGGACTCTTTAGTAAAGAAGGGAGGGAGACAAGACGTTTGAGACAGGATACAGTTTAAAAAGCCACCGTTCATGAATATAAACGATCAAAATGACCCAGACAAACGACGTATGTCAACTTTTTAGTTACAGTTCTTTTATCTAATGCCACAACTTGCTATATTTTGAACTTTGAACAATATATTAAACCCATTACAGGTCGACTGTGAACGCTACTGTTGTAAAATCTACTTGTTATGAAGCTGTGGTCCTGTGTGAAGCACTTTGTAATGTGTATAAACATTATTATATCAAAATGATCAAAATGAAGTTTAAACGACCTAGCGTTTAAAATAGCCAAATAGGTTTTCACATAAAGGAATCTGCCTCTGTATGTTGGAGCATAACAATAAACACAGGACAAGGGAAACAAGTACGGCAAGTCAAGAAGCATAAATATAAAAAAATAAAATTGACAATAATATATGAAAACATATTATAAAGACAATAATAATATTTATTTTAAATGGGAGATGTACAGTTTGTGCAGGAATGTGCAAAGGATCACAATGTTCAGTATAAAGAATATGTGTCACGCGCAGTAGTAGATCGTTAGGACTGGCAGCCTATATTCCTTTTTTTTATTAAATTCCAACCTTAGCAATGCAGTCATATTTTTCACTGTATTGTCTGTGTGTATATCACCTACATGAAACAACATGATCAGAGTGCAGGTGCAAAGTATCTAAAATGCATTTTCTGTAGTCCATCTTTGTAGTTTTCACCACAGCAGACACGTCATCAACATTGCATAATGAGGTGACGAAGTAAAGTGCAGTCTCAGTATCGCTGCTGTCTTTTCTTAAGTCCTTATGAATTCTCCTTTACATCTTTTCTTGACCTGATGACTTCCTCGAGATCCCTCAAGGTCAAGGAAGAATGTTAAGGAAAGGACATAGGACCTACTTTTTTTGACAATTCAACCAGACCCTGTTCTGACAAATAAGAGTCAGCAGACATGATGATTCTATTCTATTGATCTTACCCTGATCACACTTAGGTTGACGTCTTTAGGGTCCAAAGGATAGGCGCTTGTGCACTGCAGGATAGTAAAGTTCTGGTTGTACTTCTTCACTGTTTTGTAGACCTCGCGCATCGTTTCCATGGACTGCATCCCACTGGACACCACCATGGGACGTCCTGGCACAGAGGGAAGATAGAGGGAAATATGACTTGTGCAAGAGGATACATTACCCCTGGATATATTTACATACAGTAAGTACACCTTTATGTCTTTATTCTAAATCATCACTTTTACACCCTCAGTCATGACAGAAAGTTTTATTCATAAAATATAATTTGAATTTAGAGAAATAAAGAATAGCAAGGCACAACAAGGCCTATTCATATGTGTGTGTGTGTGTGTGTGTGTGTGTGTGTGTGTGTGTGTGTAACAAATTATGAGAAGTTTTGTGTGTGTATATATATATATATATATATATATTTAAATATATATGCATGCGTGTGTGTGTGTATAAAAATATCTCACTACACTGAGAGTAGTCCTGCAGTGCCTCATCCTCTGAACACCACAGGATGGCGACTGTTACACACACGTCCTACCGACAGGTAACCCGCAAAGATGTTGTGTAACAGGTTATAAATATTGTGTTTATTGTGAAAGGCGCGGGCACATCCGCCCTGAGGAAACACCGCTGCAGCAGGAGCACAGGCTCTCCGACAGTTAACACAAACCTTTCTAATAACGCAACTCTCAGACCACGGAACCACTGTACAGGTTGTATACCAGACTCACTGATACTGTGTACTAGCGATCCTCCCACATCCCTCTTCAAATAAAGCTGCAGCCGTCAGTGCACATGATCTATTGTTCAGGGAAACCTGATTTTGATTTGGGGGTTGTTAAACATGGTGTCAGATTATATTTATCGTGTCTCGAACATAAACTGTGATTACTTTAAATCCAGCTATAATTTAGTAATGTCTTTCTGTCTCATAGCTGAGCCCAAGCGGAGGGAACTAGAAACATCTCCTAGTGCCTAGGTTGGTCCTATTTACTGGAGTACTGATGTTCAGGTATTAGGAAGGACTTGGGGTGTTGTCTGTTACTTTCATGCCTTTTTCAGTCAAAATCTAAAGTTGTTTACAAGCCTTAACTCCGTTTCCCTGGTAACACCTGAGATAGAGATATTTAGCTAGATTTAGTTTTCATTCAGTTCGTTCTAGATTAATTAATTAATTAATTAATTATTTAAATTTACTTCACGTATTAATGGACACCCAGCATATATATATATATATATATATATATATATATATATATATATATATAAAGAACTACAAAGTTACCTGTCTTATCAGCCTTCTGTCTATATCTGTGATTGAATAATATTAGGCAATGTTGCCTTAATATAGCTCAGCCCTGTGGACAGACTTGAGGCCAACATCTGTGCCCCATTTCATAATCCTGCCTACTTAAATCTGCATTAAAGAGATGAATAGCATTATTTTACCAACAACTTCTGATCCATTGACCACACCCATTATTGCTTTTAGGTGTGGTCAAAAACAAAATACACTGCAACAAAAGGAGCACTGTACAGATACTTCTGTCTGTTAACCTTTCAGCTTGGATTTAAGAGGGATGACTAATCCAACATTTTCCAGGACAACAAAAGCTCTGGCAGCCTCTTTAATTTGAAGTTACTACCTACACAGACTCGTACCTTTTTTTGCAGTTGACTCCAAATAGGGAAAGTTGTTAGCATCGCAGGAGGCCACTTTGAAGAAAGGCACATCCAGCTCATGGAGGAACTCAACAGCCATCTATGGAAATCAACACAATTAGAGCACAAGCTTACTGTGTGTTACTCTGCTGTTGAGTATTTCAGTGTCTCAGGTGAAATAATGCCTGTGATAAAAATAGTATTGGTACATGTGCTGCTTTAGTAATTCAGCTATGGACGGAAACAAATCAAAACATATATAGGTTAAATAACAAGAATTATTGCTGTTATTCATTACACTATTCTTGTGGTTTAAAGTGGAATGAAATCTAAACCAATTCAATTCAATTTTATTTGTATAGCGCCAATTCATAACAGAAGTTATCTCAGGACACTTTTCAAATAGAGCAGGTCTAGACCGAACTCTTTAAAACATTAATTACAGAGACCCAACAGTACCACCATGAGCAAGCACTTGGCGACAAGGGCAAGGAAAAACTGCCTGTTAAAAGGCAGAATCCTAGGACAGATCCTCCAGCTCTAGGACCACCACCATTTCCCGATCTGCCTGTTTCCTGGGCTGTGAATTAAAAGCTTTTTACCTCATCCATTCCAGAGGCGGTGAGGAAGATACCAATCTCCGTTGCATACTTTTTCAGTTCCCTGTATTGATCATGGCTGAACTCCAGGTGACGCTTGTGCTCGCCATAGGTTTTGCCCCAGGAATGCTTTGATGTGTACAGGCGCTCCAAAGCTTTCTTGCTGAATTTGCACTCTAATTCACTTTTCTGGAATTTGGCACAATCAGCACCACAGTCCTGAGAAGACACTGGGTTAGTTTTTAAAGTACAAAGCAATATTCTTAACCATTTCTCTCTTCTATATAGGCACAGTTTCCTCTACATGTTTACCTTTGCCATCTTGATCATTTTCTTGGCAATTTCAATGTCTCCCTGGTGGTTTTGTCCAATTTCAGCTATGATGAAGCATGGATGGGAGTCCCCGATCATTCTCCCGGGACAGAGTTCAAACTGCAGAGGCATTCTGGTGATGTATGATGTTTACTGATGAGTGAATAGGAAAACAGGAGTCTCACAATTTGGCAGGTAAGATAGGTGAAGTACAGTGAATTCGCTCCAGAAGGGCAGATGATATGTCAGGTGATGCTTTTTATAGTAATCTTGAACGATCCCGCCCCCACAACCACACAATTTACATATTATGCTGGCTACAGGTGAACACACACACACACACACAGAGAGAGAGAGAGAGAGAGAGAGAAGAAAATGCATTCAATATGGATATTGAAGAGACAATACTGCAATATACTGAAAGAATACTTTTTATGTCTTTTTTGTTAGAAAAAGGATGATAAAATGTGTGAGAATGGAACAGAAGAGAGGTGATGTGTAGTGTGCTTCATATCTGTTTCATAGGTGCTTACTAACAACATAACTGTTGCATTAACCCGCAATAAAGTTTTCATTAATGAACTGAGCTGATTAAATGAATTGTACTTTAACTGTGAGATAGCATGACGCACACACGGTGGTATGGTTCGCTGGGACTGTTTTGTAAAGGACGGAGGGAGACATGACGGTTGAGACAGGACACAGTTCCTGTCTAACTGGTCTTCATGCAGTGCCAAGACTGCGGATTAAAAAATACATCTGGTGCCTGTTCTGACAACAGATCCTACAAAGCATTTTTTTTAGGTTTTCTTGTTATGGTAGTTAGTTACAGTTTGTAATTCAGGTTTTACGTTAAAAATGTACATTGCCATATTCAGATGGATGATGGAACTCAATAGCATCTTTCTTTATACCCTCTGTGACTGGTAAATACCCATGTGTTTCTAACACTATGCTGCCAGTTTGTAATTCAAGCCGTCACATCACAACATTTACATTTTAAAAATTTGCATTCCCATAATCAGGTTTATTTCCTCACAAAGAAATGCTTCCTCCTTCCAGAGCTACAGAGGGCTGTTTCCTGTTGAGTAGGACTCTCTGTAATGAGTACACAGACCTTTATATGTAAAATCATTTACCACAATAAGGTTTTTCATTCATGAACTAAGCTGAACATAGTATGGTCTATGTTCATGAGCTAGCAAGTCCTCGGCTAAAGTCAATGTTAGGGTGTGTCAGATTTGTGCCAGTGTGAAAGCCTGGAGAGGGGAAGAATGTTTTTACCCATGGGCTGAGTGCAGTGTGAAAAGTCCTTTTCACAAAAACACTTAGACCTAATCCTCTGTTCCTCTCTTTGTTCTCTGTACTGTATCTCTTTCTGTTCACACACTGCAACACCGTTTATCTCTGTCCATCATCTACCTGTTTCCCTCTCTTGTTCTATTTCCCTGTCTGTCTGTCTGTCTGTGCCTCTCTCTCCCAACCTTTCTGGAGGATCCTTTATTCTATCATGTCTGCCAAGATGCTGTCATCATCCTCCACGTCCACTTTGATCTTCTTGCCCACCAGCTGATTCATAGTCTCTGGAGAGATGCCCTTCGGCTTGCCAACCTTCACTGCAAACATGTCCAGGCTCAGCATCGTGCCTTTGGGGATGGCCCCCTTAGCCACCACCGACTTGCCCAACTGGAGCGAGAAAAGAAAAGAAAGACAAAAACCACTGATAAAACAATACTGAACACTTAACATTCCAGTGGAACAAACTAACGTGTCCATCTTATCATCATCTCGTCTCAGTTGTTGCCAAACTGACTGTCACACAGGTTGATCTTTTAATAGAAACTGGATGTTTCAGTTAGGTTTGTTAGACAACATACCACAAAACATTAATATTCAAAATATGGACTCTGTGGAGGTTTAAGGTGTGTCAGAAAGTGATCTACCATTCGTGTTGAAAGATGAAGCGTGTGTTTAAGACGTCGTGCTTGTTTGAACAAACCTGATATTGTATTGAACTTTGGAAGATCGCTCCTTACAGACCTTTAGTTGTCATAACCCACTGAACACAAACAATCAACATCCGGCAGACATTTAAAATCAAGACAAAGTCTCAAGGTATAAACACAAAACTAACTACAGAAAAATATGAGTCACTGTAAGAGTATTTAATACTCAATCATTGCAGTCCAAAAAAATGTATGTCGAGATTAGTGCTTTGAGTTAGAACTGGCACTGCAGTGATTTAGTACTACACGTCCATAAAGTTGGGGGATTTGCAAGGGACAGGTTTAAAAGAGAAAGCAGAGGTCGAGATATCCCGACTTTCAGTCGCCTCGGGTCAAGCTCCAGAGATGATAAAGGCCCCATTACCCGTAATGCAACTCGATAGCATCTTTCTTTACACCCTCTCTGACTGCTACATGCCTATGTGTTTTTAACTCTATGCTGCCAGTTTGTAATTCAGGCTTTCCGTTAAAATATATGTTCCCATAATCTGGGTTATTTCCTCACACTATGAAATCCTTCCTCCCTCCAGAGCTACAGAGGGCTGTTTCCTGTTGAGCAGCACTCCCCGTTATGAGTACACAGACCTTCATGTGTAAAATCAGTGGAGTGCCCCTTTAATTATGCTGAATGAACTGAAGGGGATAAAGATCGGAAGAGGGGGGAAACACTTGACAATAACTGACCTGTTAGTGATATGAAGTCAGATACATTGATGAGTCCAACCAACCTCATCATGGCAGTTCTTCTCACAGCTCTGAGGGCTCCAGGGATGGCTCGTGATCATTTCCCTTCCAGGTCTTTTCCAAGGTCACATGACGTTCCACGACCTTTGCTCCCATCGCCACAGCAGCCACAGTGATATAAGTGTCCCAAATATTTAATGGGAATGTCTGGGAATTCCTTCTGGTATTGTTTAAGAAAAAAAAAGAGAGAGTAAAAATATATTTGTCAGTCTGCTTCATATCGATGTTTCTCATGCAGCTCTCCCAGTAGGACATTCCTTTCAAATTGAGCCCTTCGGGATTTAGGTATCTTGGGGTTAACATAGCCAGATCTTTTAAATCTCTTTACTCTGAAAATTTCTCCCCCCTTTTAGCCGAGATTAAGGCAGACTTTCAAAAGTGGGGTTCCCTCCCTCTCTCTTTGATTGATTGGAAGAATAAATACTGTCAAGATGAATGTCCTGCCAAAGTTTCTATTTCTGTTTCAATGTCTGCCTATATTTTTACCAAAACGTTTTTTTTAAAACAGTAGACTCGATTATTTGTCATTTTTTGTGGAATGGCAAAACACCTAGAGTTAGACAAAAAGTACTTCAGAATTGTAAGTTCTATGGCGGCCTCTCTCTGCCAAATTTTCAATTCTACTACTGGGCCGCGAACATAACTAAAATGATATTCTGGTCCAAGACGACTAATATACCTTGGTATCAACTGGAAGCACAGTCGTGCCCCCCAGTCTCTCTTTCTGCTTTCTGCACTGCAGATCATTCACAAAACCTCTATATGTGCCTGTTTGACCTTGATACAGTTTTTCCCAAATACGGTAGCTGTCTGTGACAGATGTGGCTCACCTTGCAATCTTATGCATATGTTTTTCTCTTGTTCAGCTCTGACAAACTTTTGGCTAATTTAGTTTAGCACCATGTCTAAGGTATTCTCAAGGACTATTCACACTTCACCACATGGCATTTTTGGTCTTCTGGAAGAGTATACCCAATATTCTACTAAAGAATTGGAAGTAATAGCTTTTACCTCCCTGATTGCTAAGCGCCACCTCCTTCATAACTTGATATAGTTCCAGACCTCAGCACTACTAATTTAATTATGGGTGGTGATTTTAACTGTTACCTTGATCCATCTCTTGACAGACTTTCCTCTCGTGCTCCAATCACCATAGCGTCTGTCCAAACATTGAATAATCTACTTAAATCCAGAAACATGATTGATATATGGAGGCTGCAGCATCCAACAGACAAGGGCTATTCCTATTTATCCCATGGCCATAAATCATACACAAGGATCGACTATTTTTTAGTGGATGCAAAATTAATATCTAACATCGTACAGACTAAATATCATAATGTATTGATATCAGATCACAGTCCAGTATCTTTAAAACTGATGCTTGCCCTGCCAAAACAAAATTATTGCTGGCGCTTTAATCCATGGTTGCTGACCGATCAAATATTCACAGATTACATGTCTGCGCGCTTGGGGGACTTCCTTGAGACCAACGACACAGGTGACGTGTCAGACTCGACGCTCTGGGAAACCCTCAAAGTAGCTATGAGAGGCCATATAATTTCATTTGAAGCTTCAAAGAAAAGAGAACAGCGCCGCCGTCTGGTCGAAATTGAAAATGCACTTCCAACTCCCGAACAGTCCTACAGGGACTCCCTGTCACAGGAAGATTACGACAAGATTTTGAAGTTAAAATATGAATACAATCACATTCTCAGTGGAACCATTGGCAAACTTCTACTTAAAATTAAACAACAACACTTCGAGTTAGGTGATAAACCAGAGAGGCTGCTGGCCAGACAGTTGAAGGGTGCTCAGGCGAGCCGTGCAATTTATAAAATAAAATCCAAAACATAAGACTTGACTGGTCAACCCTAGGGAAATGAACACTCGCTTCAAAGATTTTTAATCAGAATTATATACTGCTAAGTCTAGAGCAACTAGTACAGATCTCACTAATTTTTTTGACTCCCTCTGCCTGCCAACATTAGATGAGTCATCCAGGTTGGAACTTGATTCAGACTTCGCGGAAGATGAGTTAGTTGAGGCAATTAAATCATAAAGCAGCTGGCCCAGACAGGTTTGGCTGCGATTTCTATAAGGCATTTCATAACACTCGCCCCACTCTTGCTTAGGATGATCAAAGACTCCACTGAGAACAAAACATTTCCGGGGTCGCTGTATGAAGCGAATATATGCCTCTTGTTAAAAAAAGGCAAGGAGGACACCAAGCCTAGGAATTACAGGCCCATTGCTCTCCTCAATTTTGACCAGAAGTCCATCATGAAGGTGCTAGCCAACAGGTTAGGAAGGCACATCTCTTCAATTATACATCCTGACCAAACAGGGTCCATCCCAGGTAGATTCCAGGTAGGCGGCTTCTGAATAATATATATGCCAACCAATTAGGCGACTCCAGAGCAGCTGTCTTGGCCCTCAACGCGGCCAAGACATATGACCAAATAGAGTGGCCTTTTATGTTCGAAGTTCTTA